TCGGTCTCAGGTCACTAAAATCTGAGATGTCGGATTTTTAGGGAATGGAATTACTTCCGACATCTTCCACTTCTGCGGAAACATTTTATCTAATGGACAGGAATTGACAATATTAGTCAGAAAGGGGACAATTGTACGACAGCTGAAAAGGACTATATTAATATTAAATTCGTGGAAGAATTTCGAATTGACGAAAGCAAGAAACTCTTGTTACTTTCGAAAAATCGATAAAATCGATTTTTTTCGAAAGTTTTTATTGTCGATCCCCGTTTCTCGTCTTTTGGTTTTTATGAAATAACTTGGGGACCGTTTGACCTACGAGATTTGTTTCCTTTTTAACCCTCCACGAGGCACATAGGCCCATTAAAAATAGGTTCACATCCACATTTAAACCATTAAAGTCGAGGGCAATTAAGTACCGCAAAGTATTCTTTTGAATTTTTGATTCTTTTTTTTGGTAATTTTGGTTTCTCGAAAAATATGTTTTTCTCCATAACCTTTCACCCGATTGGCAAAATTTTAACTGGCAGACGCGGAGAATCCAGTGCTATAACATTTATTTCAAGCATTTTTTCGAATATATACAGGGTTGTTAAATTATAGGCAAAAATCTAAAAGACTTCCAAATTGTTCTTTTCCACAGCAAATCAAAAATCGTAAGAAATATAGCTAACGGATTGAAACAGTGTCATAAGCCGCATCAAGAGCTTCAATTTTTGTATTTGCGGTTTTCGTCTATCACACACACTGCTCGAGAAATTTGAAAAAATCCATATGAAAATCACTATTCCGAGGGCAGTCAGGCGCGATGACGTCATAGATTATTACGGCACACTGCATGGTTTCAGAAAATTCTTATTTTTATGAAAAATTATTGTACTAGGAAATGTGGAAGATCCAAAGAGGTTCATTTCCGGACTTTTTTCAAATATGTACAGGATGTGTCGATTATGGTCGAGACACTTGGAATAATATAATTGTAAATCGTTATTACTTGGACAATTTTTTATATTTATCAAAATTTGTCGCTACTTTGAAATTCGGCTATAAGTAAAAGACGCGTTATACAGGGTATGTACACATTATAATTACATCGATTTTGTGAAAGTTCCGCAGGAGCACGATAGAAAAACAATGCGTTCCTCTAAGAAGCGCGAAGCGACTTCGTTTTGAAGTACAAAGCTGCTTCGCGTTACGCGCTTCGAACTTGCCCCGTCCACCTACAGTTTTTCGAAAGCAATCTTGTTTATTTTGTTAGGATCGCTCAAAAATTCGAGTATTTCTTTTTTGGTGTAGATAATTAGATCATTAAGTGTTTTCCAAAGTGCCTTGAAATTATTTAAATGACTAATCGCGCAGTGTTCGAAATATTTATTTGTTTGAAATTTGATGTACCAATCTGTGTCGCTCTTAGTTTTGTTAAAGTTACTAAAAGCCTTATTTTTTATCAAAATTATTTTTTCTATAGAAAAAGTTAACCAAGCAGGTTCGTTAATTTTGAATTTTGCTGCTATACATTACAGATATTTACCAAGTTGTCATTTGGGATCCTAACTTTTTAGGTGACATCCCTAACGGAAATTATATCTTCCAAAGGTGATATCGATAAGAAATTATGCAATAAGTCCCAGTCAAAACTCTGTTTTAGTTACATCACTGTGCATTACGCAATAAGTGATCAGATGTAGGTCTAACTATTATGAAAACTCGTGCCTATTTCCCCTGAATTTTTTTTTATTTATTTTATTCCGTTTTCTAGGGTCTTGTGGTTGCGTGATAGAGCACCTCCTCTTACATCAAATTTTATAATTTGAAATAAATCCATTGATCCTTTCGCCAGATGCAATAGTTGACGTAGCTGTCATCGCGTAAAAAATCACATCGACATCGACGAAAATTCTCGACCCTACCCAAGTCTAACTTAATCCCGTGCAGTTTTAGTCCCCGAGGCGGAACATCGGGGGCACCACGGTCGCCCTCCCCCGGTACATTTCGGCCACGATCGGCCCCGCGCCATGCATTTAAATTACCTCATTATCGGTTGCACCGCCACCTGTGATCTCCGCGCGTTAAAGCGCGATCTGGGACCGCCCGAGGGCTCTTTGCCGAGGGTTTTCGCAAATCGCGGCCCGCGCCGTTTTTTTCCCGTCTCTAATCGTCCACGATCGCGCTCCAAATGAAAATACGTTAACCATAGTTAAGTTTAAAGCTGAGACAAATTCAGATATTTTTCGTTTAACACTGTTTGCTCCAAAACTGCACGGAAAGTGGTGGGAGGCTGAATATTTTAATAATAATAAAAAAAGTTGAGACAGGCACAACTTAACCTACATACTGCCTAACCAAAAACAGCCACTACGGTAATCATACAATCTTTATTATTTAATTAAATTCAACTCCGCCGGTTGAGAAAGAACGAGGGTGAAATGGCTGACTTCAGATCTTGGAATACTCATTGATGCCGATAAATACCAAGAAACGTCCCAAACCAAAGCAGACCTAACTCATATTCATCAAATCCAATCTCAGAATGAGATGGGTGAGGGCAAGTCTTCAGCGCCTTAAATCTGGAGCCACCCGGCTAAGGGTAGAAGACCCCTACAGACATCTTCCCGGTCCACCAGGACTGGAGGTTGTGACGATGCCCCCATCACACGGAAAGAAATACATTGTAAGAAGTTCTAGAAAGAAACCACCGGACAGATTTTTTTGACATAATCGCAAAAATAATAATTTTCTGAAAAAAGAATAAATGCAGCGATATGAGTTTTTGATAGTCCAATTAGGGCCCAACAACACGTGTGAAAATCGCATATCCATATCTTTATTCTCACCTAAAATATGAATAAAATAATTTAACGCTCAAAAAACAATCATGTTTTAGGAGAAACATACACTTTACACATTTATTTTTTATGTATAAGGGGCCTAAGTGAGATCGCTGGGGTATTCCGGACATAGTCTGAAAGACTAAATATTTATGATTATTCATTAAAATAAACTGAGACCTGTTATCCATGTACGATCCGATAAAATTCTAATTTATTATTTATGATGCCCAAAATGTTATTATTTACGTTTGTTATTTTCCTTCCAAGGGCACCAAATGGTCCGTAGCTGACATTTGTGCATTTCAATATGCTTAGCTGTTTTCAAATATTTATTATTATGACCAATGGAAAAATTGGTTTTTCATATCGTTATTTGATTGAATTTATTAATTATTTAGTGTATTCATTCATGACTTATTTTATTATAAAAATATTAGTCCCCAATGGCTTGTTTCTTGCAATACAAGGCCACCAAAAAAACTATTTTATTTGATTTTTATTTATTGTATTCTTGTTTAGTATTATGACGATTATAAAATTTGAGATATTTCGTATATTGATGACGAGAAACCGAAAATAACTTATTTGTTTGTTTAATATGGTGTTCTTGAATTTAATTGTCTCCTATTGTCCGTTCAATTTTCCATACAAAAGATGCTCTTAGTAGTTGTCGCTAAAGGCATCCGTTTTGAATAAAAACGAGTAGTTGGAGTTTTTGAGAGAAATAAGTGAAAGAATGAATTTCTTATTGATTGTATTATCAATTAACAAACTTAGACTAAAACTTAATAACATTTACAACAATTGTTGAAAAGGGCCACCGCCTAACATTGACTAGACGAATTCTTTCTGACATAGGTATAGTCTGTTCATAGATTTAAGAAAGTGACAAACTGAAGAACGAATTAAGGAAAGACCCGGCGAAGCTGTAAGAATGAAATATGGCTGCACAGGTCCGTACTTTGCTTATAATTTAATTATTTGGGGTTTTGTTATCAAAGATACAAAACAATATTTATTTATTTATGTATATATTTATGTTTAAATCTAAAATAAAATTACAAAATTATTTTTATTACCTACTTAAATTACTTAAAATCAGTATCAGTATCACTATCGCTATCAATGCCTGTTCTAATTATTATTTGTTGTATATTATTTGCAATATGGATATACGATTGTTCTGCTCTTTCTATAGGTTTAACAGAATTTGCCCAACTTTGTGCAGGGATGTTACAAACTTCGGTTTCTACAAGTTTGAGGACATTGGAGTTAACACGGGGAAAACATTGTTACGACGAATGGCAGATTTCAGTTGGTGCCAAACATGTTCAGTGGGATTAAACATACAGTGGTAAGATGGAAGCCTTAACACTGTATGCCCTAGATTTTTTGCATAATTATCACAGACGTATTCCTTTTGTAGGTTCAAGCTTTGTAGAACTTCAATTAATTCGCGTTCGCGTTCAATGAGAGTCAAAAAAACATTGTTTATAACTTCCTTAGTCTCAACAGAATAGTGCTTTCTACATTTGGGCGGGAGCATCTCCTGAAATACACTAGAGTCGCACACATTTTGCATAATTCTCACACGATTTAACAGACGCTGTATTACACACGAAATAAGAATAATTACTAATAAACTTAAACGAAACCAAAGAATATTAAACACAAGTAGGTATAAAATTATTTTCTATTACGGACCACAATTTAACCTGAATTTAAATTACGAAACTTTAGGTAATAATCTTGTTGCATTGTATGTTAATGACCACCCTTGGATAATCACATCCAAGAGCAATTGGTCACTTTCTTATATCTATGAACAGACCATACCTAGAGTCTGCACCTGTCATGACTGATGATTCTCTGCGGCTGCCAGCTGGTAGGAATATTTCTTCATTTCTTCCCGTTTTTTTTTTGTGGCGAAACTTACTTCGAATACAAATCATCGTTAGAAATTTCTAGATTAACAATACGATTACACATGTTTATGCAAATATTGCAAATGCAGTGGGTAGAAAGTAGTGTTTCGTACGCATTGTGATCATATAAAGCACCCTCCGGTGCGCTACATTTATCACGAAGTCGGGTCCTAAATGAAATACTTGTTTAATGTCGTAGAAAAGAATTTATTAGTAGGATAAGGTCTCTGTCCCGACGAGATTTCCGTTTAAATTATCTAAGAAGCCCAATATATCAATTAATGGAGCCAACTCGTCCATAATACAAATGACGTCACAGTATTGATCCGATTTTCCATCGCAATTAATAGATTCAAATTTTAAACTGGTACAACTTTATTCAAGAGCAATCGAATTAAAAAAATCCTTGATTCTGAGATTCTGACTAGGTGTGCGAATCGTGTGTTAGTTAAGGGCTTTTATAAAAGCTCCACTTGTAAAACCTCATTTGCTTACAGTACACCCATTAAAGTCACTCCAAAAGCTAATCTAAAAGCTGTAACTACAAAAACTCATTTAAAATCACAACTAATAAAAATTGTTTTATGGTGTCATTTTTACTCGTAATACAATAAATTTCCTCAGGCAAATTTTTCGGGCTCGTGGCGCCATCTGTGTTTGAATAGCCACACAACCTCCGACAACCGAAAAATCCCAATTGTAGGGAACTAGACCAAAAGCAAATGACATTATGTAGCTACCTATATTTGACATTTTAATTTAATACATCTGGATCTAATGATTGCAAAAAAGTGTCTGTACACCAAATATCACCGTATTGGACCACCCTATTGCTTATTTTTTGCAAAAAATCCTGAGGAATAAAAATTTGATCCCAAAGCTCCCCATCTGCATGCACGTCAGCCCATCTTTGTGCCACATTCTGAGCCGCAGCCTTTCGGAATATCATACAATGTAAGAATGTCAATTTTTCATATTTCACTCTCATAAAGCCCATTTTTGCTAGCACTAGTCTCCAGGATTTCATTAATTTTGCATTAGCTCCTACATGTTTTGAATCTGGAGTAATAATCACCAAAATTCCTTCAGGTTTGAGCAATTGATAAGCTTTTTGGCAGCACTCAAACCTTTGATTGGAACTTGGTAGATACTCTAATAGCAAACAAAAAACCACAATATCGAAAGAGCTTTCTCGCAGGCTAATAACTTTATCTTCAATGATCAACTCTCTATCAACATTTATTGTCAAGAAATCACACTTAAAAACTTCGCTAGAAGCTGGAGCTATGTCTATTGCAGTAACTTCAAATTCCAGAAATTGCTTGAACGGATTGTAACAGCTGCCAACATCTAAGAGTTTTAATTTATTACCAAAACTGGAGAAAACAATATCGCGTTTCTCAATGTTATGTTTTCTTGATACACTCACTTCCTTGTCTCGATATTTATGAATATAAAGAAAATACTCTTTGCAAGACTGAAAAACCCAATCGATCCTGGAATAAGCGGACCGTCGCTCCATACATCTCGTTTCCCAATACTCCGTGGCCAAAGACTTCATAGCATTCGAATACTGTTTTAACGTTTCACTATCATTGCAATGGCTTTGCCAAGCTTCCTCTACTCCCAAAATGACTGCTTCTTCTCTAAGTTTCTTGTGCACAGACTTTATAAAATTTGCCAATGAAATATGTTCCAATGAGGCCATAATAAGAGTTTATTTTTGTAAAAAAATATATCAATTATTATTCTATGAACTCTATACCGTGGAAATAGGTCATATCCTATTTCTTTGCCAAAATTCAATTTTTTTGTCACGACGGAACTGCCTATGTGTTTTTAAGGGATAATAATTTGTGAATTTAGTAAATCATTGGTCGTTCTGTATTTTTATTAATAAGATTCAGACCGTCCTTTGAAAAAAGCATTACACTCCTAAACTAACCAGATTTTGTTTTTCATTAATTTGACATATGATTTTAACATCCAAATATCAATTATTTAGACGCCTTCGCTGATTTCGCTTATACATCTTCGATAACTTTATTATTCTTTTATTTATAATATGTGATAGGATGATGACACTAAACACCTTTGACAAATTTTGTAAAGGACATAGGATTATTGTGGTTGGAATTAGGTTGTTATAGTTGTATCTTGACAATCTCAAAAGAAGAAGTGTCTGATATTTCATCTATGATTTTGACGTTTGGTTATTGAGTCGTCAAAGAATTATAAGATTTAAAAATAGAGTTAAAGTAAATAATGGCTTTTTCGATTTTAAATTCAGATGCCCAGCGAGTGTCTGAAAGTATAAAGTATAAAAGTAATGACGAGCTCAATGAGATTATGAATAATGAAGCTAAATTGGAAGAAATTATAGGGGAATTAGACCAGGTTAGACAAAATAGTTTTAAGATAGTATTTCTGAAAGCATTGTAATTGCAGTCGTATTTAAAGAAATTAGAAAACGAAAAAGATAATTTAATCGCGGAAAACAATTCTATGGCCGAGTTCAATTTATCTAGAGAACCACAATTAGTTGAGGGCCGAGAAAAATTGAGGTCCTTATACGATGAAATCGAAAGGTTAAACAAAGTAATTGAGGAGAAGCTTAAGGAACTAAGTAAACGGGATCGCTGACTTGTAAAAGTAGTGTCTTTAAGTTTTTAATTTTCAGGAAGCAAGGGAGGTGATATCTCTATAGAAACCGCACTAGCCCTGCTCCAAACGGCTGCTAGCGAAATGGAAGAAGAGTCGGAACAGAGCGCTAAAAAATTTCTAGCCAATGAACTGGACTTGGATCCGTTTTTGGACGAGTTTATAACTAAACGAAAACTGATGCACTTGCGTCTCGTAAAGGCCGATAAGCTTTCGAAGATTTTGCAAAGGGGTGATCCATCTTTAAACAATGTTTCCAATTACATAAACGCGCCGCCTGTCAGTATAAATTCCGGATATTTCCCGGGTGTTCCTACCTCGCCACCTGCTGCAGTTCCTTATCCTACTGGTCCCCTTAATATGCCTATGCCACCGGGAATGAACTATTTTCAAAATCATTTTTAACTCCTTATTTTTCTTTACGATTCGTTATATTGTTATTAAGAATTTATATCATTGAACTTTATATTTATATACAAATATAATGTGTGAAAATCATGTTTGAATGTGAATCATTTTTATATTGCATTGACAATATGATTTTTCTTTGTGCACAGTTCATATTAAATATTGCACAACTGGTTGCCAGATTTCCCCAGAATATAGGTGGTACTGTATATATCGATTGTTAACTGTAATTATTTAGAGCAAAAAATTGTAATTTAAGTTGCTAGCCCTGAATTGAATGAAAATTTTAAAAAAAACTTGATACCTTGTTTATCCCAACATCCCAACAATATTGCCATTCTAAATTGTTGCAATATAGAATTTGAAACATTTTTATTAAATTATTTACATATACACATAATTTATGAGCTGTTTTCTTAGCAATTGCCTACACAAATAAAGCTCGAAAAATCGAAACTTGTTAATTTTGATCTAAATACAATCAAACTAGCCAAACTGGTCATCAATCTAGGTGGCTTGAATTATTTGTCCTCTGCGGCGTTTTAACATTGTCATAGCCAGAATGATCAATGTAAATTACTCCCGATACAATCACTGTTATGATGAATATGCATAACAACTTTGTTTCCAACTCTTCTTTCTGTTCTCTTCTATATGAATCTACAGTCTGGGCATGTTGCTTGAAATCTCGAGATCTCTTAAACGTCGTTTCGTAATGCGCTTTGGACCACTCGTCAAAATCGTAGATAGGCGTCCGACCAGACCAAGGCGGAACTTGAGACCGTCTTTCCCTTGACTTATAAAACTTGTGCAACGGATCCTCGGCCGATGTAACATCTTGCTCTGAAGGCACGTAAAACCCTTTGTCATACATTTTTCTAGTTTTTACGTTCCCAAGCACTTCGTATGCTTCTGAAATGTCCCTAAATTTCTGAAGATGCTCCTGATTGCCTTTGCTCTTGTCAGGATGGTAAACCTTTGATAGATTATAATAAGCGCTCTTTACGTCACCCTGTGTAGCCTTCTGCGTTATGCCCAGCGAGTCGTAGTGATTTTTCGGGTTTTTGCTAGATGTTAGACTCCTCGACGTGTGTAGTTTTCGAATTTGATTTGTTGCACTGACGGCCTTTTTAATACTCATTACTAAAAAGGTTAAAAAGTGACAACAAAATATTTACGAGTAACATCTGACATGTCACTAGAGATAGTGTAGTAACTGCAATTTTACAAGAAAGTAATTATATCACCACAAAAATTTGGGTTAGTTTAACTCTGTTTTTCAGTTTTCTTTTACTTTTCGTGGCCAAGGTTGCTAGGATCATTCACAAAAAAACAGCAAAGCGAAATTCCTTACAAAGAAATGCAAAAAAAACTTATTACATGACCGATTAATTATTATCACTTTGGCTCATAAAAGTTGCGTAAGGAAGAATTTTGTTTGTCGGAAAGTTAGGTTAAGGGCAATACTAGGTTTTACAAAGTTCCAAATAGATTCTTAAATTTATGGGCGTCTTATTTAAAAGAATATATTCGTTTTAGTCGCTACAGAACTTTTTTGATTAGATGACTCACTTTAGCAAAACCAAAAAGCTTCTGCTCGGTTTGGGCGCCGTATCTGGTGTTGCCGTTCTATACTACTGCAACGGTCAAAATAGACGAGTCCACGCCTCGTGGACGTCGAATTATGTGCCTTCTCCCCACGCGAAATGGGACGAAAATTGGGATCAGTAAGTACTACTGAACGCGAATTAGGAGACGTTTATAGCTGTTGTTACAGCCGATCACCAAAATATATCAGGAGCAGTCGATCTAGATCGTCTGAGAAAGACGAAAATGAACTCAACGAAGATAGAGAGAAACTCACACCAAAAGTGTGCAGGCATCTGTTGTTGATACGTCACGGGCAGTATAACCTGGATGGAAAGACAGATGCGGAAAGGGTCTTAACTAAATTAGGTAGAATTGTAATTTTTAGATTGTAAATTTGTAATATTCCGTATCTCTTAGGGAGAATCCAAGCCGATTACACTGGCAAACGGCTCCAAGAACTTAGTTTACCTTACACAAAGATGATTAGATCGACCATGGCTCGAGCTGACGAGACGGGTGCGATCATATCACAGTACCTCCCATCAGTAGGTATGTGCCGGTATCATTTTCTGCAATTTCAAATTTTGATTGCAGATTCCTATAACCCATTGCGACCTCTTGCGTGAAGGCGCACCCGTGCCTCCCGAGCCTCCGCTGGGAAGTTACAAACCTGAAGCTTATGTAAGTTGTTTCATTGCTTTTTGTGTTTGTTCTCATTTTTGATTTGCCTTTTTCAAGAAGTTCTTTACTGATGGTGCCAGAATAGAAGCCGCTTTCCGAAAATACTTTCACCGCGCGGACCCTGATGAAACCAAAGACTCCTACATCGTTATAGTGTGTCACGCCAATGTCATAAGATATTTGGTGTGCAGGTAAATGTTTTAAAGTTCTTTTTTTAATTCAGGTTTTTTCAAACTTCTTTTTTATACAGGGCGTTACAGTTTCCTGCGGAAGCCTGGCTTCGTATGTCACTGAACCATGCGAGTATAACATGGATTTCTATTACTCCCAGCGGACGGTGCGTGTTGCGCACTTTCGGTGATACTGGACACATGCCTCCCGATGTTATAACTTCTACATAGCGCTTAGCTGAGGGAAAAAATAAAATTTACATACTTTATACAAACTTTTGTACGTCAGGATGAACAGTATTACTGTACGTTTTGCCTTCGTAAAAGAATAGGAACAAATTTTTGAGGAATTTTTCCTGATGCTGGTTTAATTGTATTATTTTGATCATTGGAATTATGTCTTATGCAGATCAGAACTTGTAATTATTTATAAGAATATCTCTGCTATGTTTTGGAAATCGAATATACTTTTCGAAATAATTAAGCTAAATTCATTTCTTTTATACGTTTCACAATAAACTTTGGGCAACTGCCCATAAGTCGATCCAGAATTTTTGACATTTCGGTCCTAGATCGACAACAATTCAGTTTTCTTGTTGGTCACAGACCGACAAATCTTTTTGACAGCCTCTTGATTCGGATGTTTTGTTATGGTAAGGTTACGAGCATAACCGAACTTGGAGCAAATTTCATGCGTTATTTGTATAATTCAACCATTTGATGTTATTTTGGATTTTAATGCCACAAATTTCGCTTCAAAACTAAAATTATGTTCATTATAAAAGAGAGGATTATCGGTGATCTTATTACTGGCAGCAGGATTTTTATATTTGGCCAAGAACTAAAAAGAAGCGGAAGTTGGACAGAAATCACTTTTATTTGAATTTTAAGCAGGAAAAAACGATAGAACTTGCTACCTCCTACCTAGCTACCCTACCCAAAGGCAAAGAAATACATTCAAAATTCAAGTCCTTCCCATTGAGAAATACATATTTTTCATCCTCTTCTTCAACAATGGCCTTACTTTCAGTGGTCTGTCAAAACAAGAAATATTTTCATTTTTCCGGTTTACTGGCAGCAGTGGGTCGCCGTCTTAATTTTAAGAGTCAAGTTATGACTGTAACAGAACAACAACTAAAAAACAAGCTTACTCAAGAGTTGCCCGCTTCCTATGTGGTAAGTCTTGTGTAATTGCTGTCAAAAGTCTGAACTTTCCCGAATCGATAATAAATATGTACGTTTCCACTTAAGCATTGATAAAAAACCATCGAATAAACAGTCTCATCATTATTTTTGCTAAAATGAATCATGTACTGTAAAATAAGCAGCGAGAGTTGGCTAGTGTTATTCGGAACGCTAGTAGCTGTATTGTTAAGATGTTGTACCACTCTGCACCCTTATTCGGGTCAGGGCACGCCTCCGATGTACGGAGATTACGAGGCACAACGGCATTGGATGGAAATTACCACAAACTTGCCTGTAAAGGATTGGTATCGCAATACCACGGACAATAACTTGATGGTATGGGGCTTGGACTATCCACCTTTGACAGCTTATCACATGTATTTGTGCGGAAGATTTGCACGTGTGTTGAATGAAAATTTCACCAAGTTGCATGAATCAAGAGGACACGAAAGTGAAGCCCACAAATTGTTTATGAGATATACGGTTTTGATGGGTGACATGTTGATATTCATTCCTGGAATCATTTTGTATTACTACACGTGTGTTAACCTGCGTAGAAGTGATGAAAAGAAAAACAAGAAGAAGCCCAAAGCTCTGTTAGGGTTAAAAATAATGGATTATTCATTATCTATAGTGTTGGGGTTGTTATATCCAGGCATAATACTGATTGATCACGGTCATTTCCAGTACAATTCGATCTCACTTGGGTTATTTGTGTTCGCCACAATTTTTTTACTGCATCGCAAGAACATTTTGGCATCCATTGCGTTTTGCCTTGCTTTGAACTACAAGCAAATGGAATTGTACCATTCTTTACCTTTCTTTCTTTACTTGCTGAGCACTTGCGTTCCGAAGCCGGGCCAGAGCAGCCTCTCGGGCGTTTTGCAGCTCATCAAACTGGGAGTGAGTGTCACGGCAACATTCACACTCATTTGGCTGCCTTTTCTATTTAATTCGGCAGACCTGTTACAGGTTCTACACAGGTTGTTCCCTATTGCACGCGGAGTATTTGAGGATAAAGTGTCCAATATTTGGTGCACCCTCAATATCTTCTTTAAATTTAAATCTCAATTTGACACCTACCAAATGATGAGATTATGCATGTTTACCACCCTCTCTGCAATACTTCCATCTTGCGCCGATTTATTTCTGAGACCCAACCTCAGAAAGTTCGTTTTATCCTTGATCAACTGTTCCCTTGGGTTTTTTCTATTTAGTTTTCAGGTTCACGAGAAAAGTATCTTGCTGGTGGCGATCCCTGTTCTGTTGTACTTTCCGTACGCGCCATTTGTATGTTTTTGGTTTCTGTGCATTTCCATCTTCAGCATGATACCGTTACTTATTAAAGACAATTTAACGGTCGCTTTAATAGCCTTAACGGTGTTCTATGCAGTGTCTTTTAGGGTGTCGGTAGAGCACGCCTTTAAAAACATGTTTGCGACCAATGAAGGCCTTTTTGAATACTATAGAAGAATCCTAGATCTCCTTTTCAACGTAGAATCGAACGATGCCGATTTGGAGACTCTCATAAAACTGACCTCGCAGAAAATGATTAAAAACAGACACGCCTTGTTTGCGTTAATATTCCATCTAACCATATTTACATCATTGTGCGGTTGCGTGGCTCTTTTCGTCGCCATCTTGGTCATGGAACCGCCCCAAAAGTATCCCGATCTATTCCCCTTGCTAATATCGGTTTATTCTTGCGTCCATTTTTTCGGATTTTTTCTTTATTTTAACGTCAAACAGTTCGGCATCCCGCAAGAGTTTGAGGACATCAAAAATGTTAAAGTTAAGAGCTCTTAATGATAGCTTGATTTGTAAGACACAAATGTACAGACTTGTTAATAAAATTAAATTTTATTAATACCGCCTCTTTCAATTCAATCTCTCTCGGTTGTTTTTAAACATGTCTTTGAAAAAAATATCTCTGTAAATGTATTCTTCAACAGAGAATGGAATTTTCTGTTCTCTTGTTACTATTTATAAATCATGTAAATTGGTGTGCGTCAAATTTCTGCTTTACGTTTAGGAAGTGGTAGACGAATCGGACGGTTGCGGCGCCAAATTTTCTTGCCTAATAGTGTCGGATCGTTTCACAGGAAAGCCCTTGTTGCAGAGACACAGGTGAATATCCTACACCCCCGGATAAGTCTACATGCAAGCGTGTTTTTTTTTAGGCTAGTAAATTCAATTTTAAAGGAGGAATTGAAGTCGATACACGCGTTTACGCAAAAAACCCTCACGCCTGAGCAGTGGAATAACGAGCGAAAATCTGAGCAGTAGTTTTACTTAAATATTAATAGTAACATGTTAGATAAATTAGAAGGGGGTAAGTTTCAACCGCATAGCTATTAGGGATTTCATTGCAACAATTTCAAATCTCGCTTTCAACCAATAAGATCTTGCGCCGTTCAAGGGGCAACATGGCCGCCTGACATTCCGTCAATTCGATCGTTATCATATAATACTCGCTAGAAGGCTACGAGTACAGCATTTTAAAAGATGGTGTTCCATTTAAAAAAAGGACCTTGGTACTTTTTGACCCACCGTGTATATTTTGTGTTTACTGCAAAAATGCGCAAGGAAAAAATTGTGCGAGCATTTCTCTTGAAATCCGATAATAGCTAAATGAATAATTTTTAAATTAATTTGTTCGATATTTTACACATTTAATAGATAAAAACTGCTGTTAATAATTTATGTATTTTCAACTGGGTATTTTTTTTTATGGTACATGGTCAAAAATCATCGGTTATCAACTCTCTTGTTTACAGAGCCGTAAAACTATCTCAACCCGAGTCACTAAACCCAGAATTAGCTTCTCTCCAACAATTTCCACACAGACCGATACCTTAATGCAATGCCACATTACCATCCGGCCCAAAATTCATCAGAATTATAAATTATAATTTCCACATTTCCATATTAGACATATTAAGCGTTCCAACAAAAAATACACTTCACCACCACCTCCCAAAGAAAACGAATCCGAAAACAACCTACAAAATTTTTGAACATGCGAACTATCAAACAAATTCAATTATGTGTGGATTTTTTTTACAAATATCGCATGTGTAAACTATAGAATACAGAACAGCGGTGTTGCCAATAGTCGGGAAGGAAATAAATTTCAAAAGTTCTACGTGAGAATTGCCAACTAAAAAATAAAACAATTGAAAATTTTTATGCGTAGAAAATTAATACGTATTAAAAATTTTCATAAAACGGAACTTTTCCTTTATCTGGTAAAAGTACCAGTACATAATTATATAATTACATTCCTGAAATATTCCTTCTTATTCTTTCTCAGTTTCTCCGTAAGGGGCTCCTCTCTCTACCAGTCTTCTAGGAGTATTAATCCTAGTTTTCAGTTCGTTTTTCGGATATTTAGAAAAGGAAATCAAATTGTCGTAAAGATGGATTTTAATCGTGTTTTTAGGGGTCGAAGTCAACGTTTCCGCTCCAGGGAAGGTAATACTGCACGGGGAGCATTCTGTAGTCTACGGCAAGCTGGCCATCGCCGGCAGTTTGGGACTTCGCACAAAATTAAAACTAGTGGAAATAAAAGAACTGAACACTTTCGCAGCTGTCGTTAAACCCTTAAGTTTCCGGCATTCGTTTCAATTGGCTGTGAGTTGTTGGCTTCCTGAAATATTTTTCTTCGAATCTTTATTTAGCGAGAGTTGGTTTCAGGACGTCCAAAACTTAGTAGACAAAGTGCATGTTCAAGGCAGCCCTTTGAATTTTAATTTAGCCGAGCCAAATCTAATAAATTTCGACAAACAGCTCGCGGCGGTTCGTAAGTTATTAATTGGTGTTGCGGAAGAGAATAGGTCCGTCTCGAACTCGCTCGAGTGCGTTCTGTTTTTAATTTCGGCAATCTTGAGCAGTGTCAACGTCAACGTTTATTCTTTCGCCATAATAGTCGATACGGAATTGGAAATTGGCGCAGGCACAGGCAGCTCTGCGTCATTTTGCGTTGCCCGTGCGTAGTAAACGGAAAACCTATATTCGAGTCAAACGTTATAATTTTAGTTACCGCTGGTCTCTTGCAGTACTTGAAACGTAAAACTACCCAATTGCAAAACATTTCCAAGCAGGGTTTCAAACGGTTTTCATTTGATCTGGATAGTGCTGGAAATGACCATTTTAACGATGAAGAGTTGAGGTTGATTTGCGAGTGGGCTTTCCTAGGTGAACGCATTTTCCACGGCACTCCGTCCGGTATAACACTTTGACTCAGTTTTAGGCCTTAATAATAATTTGTGAGCACAGTGACAAGTTTTTTAACAATGTTTTCAAACTAAGCAACAAGTTTCATCTATATATACACTAAACTATAATTATTAAGTCAAATATATTACAACGTTAGGTAACTAATAATAGGCAAAACAATAAATTTAAAAGGAAATTTTTTAAACCTTCTTGTGAGCTATTGTACTGGAGCAAAACTATATTGAATTCAATAATAACATTTACCTTTGAACAACAATTTTCAGACGTTCTCCATTTGTCATAAGTCTTTTGCATACTGATACTACTATTTCCAATTCGTTTTTCGCAATATGGTTCATATCATACCATTAAATTCTGCGAATTTTACATCTGAATTAAATAGCTTTTAATAACGGTTATTTGCCGAATATTTAAAACTATTTAAAAATTATTTCTGCAAGTCCTAAATATAATATTTTAAAATATTTCAGATAATCGAGCGAAAAACGTCTAACTACCTAAGTAAACATAATCTAAAAATAGGTTTTGAAACTGCCAATTATTTAGGAAAATTAATTAAAAATAATAAAAGTGCAACAAATGAAATCAAAAAGATCAGGGTTATATAAACTTTTGTGAAATGTTTGTACCAAAACCTATATAGGCCAAACAGGAAGATGCAGTAAATAAATAAAAACATTATAATATATTCATCAACAAAAGGCTTGATTCCAAATACTCTTCAATATCTTTTCGAATTTTACGTTTTGATAGGACACAAATTGAATTTACTTGAAGCTTTGAAAATTAACAAGTAAAGTGGTGCTTAATATTAGTTTTTAATTATTATACCAGTTTGGCTCGAATTTACCCTCCTGAAATAAATTATCTAGACCTAGATTTTGTGTATATATAGATTAATTTTGTTGATTAGTTGGTTAGTTTAAAAAAGTTAGTATTAAAGACGCATGTCACTTTGCCTACAAAAGATATATGTGAAAGTCCTAGTAAGCATTTTGTTTTATAACTAAGCAAAACTATGGGCTGAAAACATTAGAGTTTTAAGTCTTCCATGTAGAAGATTTTCTTGCAGGTATTGATAATGCAGTGTGTACCTATGGTAACTTGGTGAAGTTTCACAAAGGTTCGGCGCCTAAACCAATTAAACTTCAACGATCTTTGAATATCTTACTGATCAATACACAAGTGTCGAGGGTAACGGCTAACTTGGTCGCTTCAGTTAGGTTGCTATACGAAAAATTTCCTGACGTGGTTGGTAAAATTCTTGATTCCATGGATAATTTAACATGCGAAGCAGCCGAAATTATTCTCAACATTGATAATAGCTTGTGTGCCAAAGACACAGAAGAGTATTATGAAAACTTAGGACAGTTGGTAAAGATTAACCACGGCTTACTCAACACGCTAGGCAAGTGAAAAAAATCGATCGAGGTTAACTTCATAACGTAACAATAATCTTCTTCGACGTTAATACGACCTCCAGGTTCGTTTTTCCGTTTCTAGGTGTGTCCCATCCTAGATTGGAAGAAATTATTAGGATTTTACTCAAACATAAGCTTATTGGAAAATTAACCGGAGCCGGCGGAGGGGGGTTCGCCTTGGCCGTACTGCCGCCCTCATTTGAAATAACAGACGTCGCCAAAGAATTAATGAATGCTGGTTTTAAAGTTATCCAGACGAAATTGGGAGGAGTCGGCGTCCGAATTGACATTTGATTAGGCTTTTGGACTTTTCATATGTACCACGGATGGGTTAAGAAAAGATTGTCTCTTTTTGCGTAATATTTTTGAATGCTTATGTTCTTAATAAATGTTTGTAGTGGTTAGTTTTTTTAATTGCGTTTAAACTCCCTGGTCCAATTCAGCCAGCCTACTTTGGAAACGGGCTAAGGTTAAACAACATTTAGTAGTTCACAAAACTGATTTGGCCGAATGACCCTGGCACATTGCCCAAAGTAGTAAATATTCTGTGGACCTTACCAATTTGAGCGATCTGTTCCACGATTACTTAGGAGGTTATAATTCTGTATATTCAAATTGTGTTGTATGTTTTGAACCTTAGTTTGTGGCAACTATAATGGCACAAAAAACAGACTGGGCGAAGTATGTGGCCCAAACAGAGAATAAATTATCGCAAATTAAAGTTGGCGACAATAAAAACGACGTAAATGGTTCGGAGGAGGAAGCACCGGAACAATTTAGTCTCGCTGAAGCCAGCCTCCTGGCAAAAATTATTCGGAAGGGTTTGATTGAAAGTAAAAACGACATAGAGGTGCAGCGAAGGGATCCCAACTCGCCCTTATATTCAGTGAAAACATTTGAAGCCTTAAATTTAAAGCCGAACCTACTGAAGGGGGTGTATGAGATGGGTTTTAATGCACCTTCAAAAATACAAGAGACCGCGTTGCCTACTTTATTAGCGGAACCGCCTCAGAATCTCATTGCCCAATCCCAATCTGGTACTGGCAAAACTGCTGCATTTGTGCTTGCCATGCTTAGCAGAGTGGACCCTACTAAAAAATATCCGCAGGTGTTGTGTTTGTCGCCCACTTATGAACTTGCGATTCAAACTGGCGAAGTTGCCGCTCATATGGCGAAATTTTGCCCGGAAATCGAAATGAGGTTTGCTGTTAGAGGAGAGGAGCTACCCAGAGGGACCAAATTGAGTGAACACATTGTGATTGGCACACCAGGGAAAGTGCTGGACTGGGGTACAAAGTTTAAGGTGTTTGATTTAAAAAAGCTTACCGTCTTTGTGCTTGATGAAGCTGATGTGATGATAGCCACCCAAGGACATCAGGATCAGTGCATTAGAATACATAAAAATTTGAGCCCAAATTGCCAGATGATGTTCTTTTCAGCAACATACGATCAGGAAGTGATGGATTTTGCAGAGCATATTGTAAAAAATCCAGTTATTATAAGACTGAAGCGGGAAGAAGAGAGTTTAGATAATATTGCACAATATTATGTTAGGTTGGTGTGTTTCATACCTTTTCATACCTTTTTAGAAGTAATGTCTTCTGGAATAGTTGTAAATATAAACAGCCTGAATTATTTTGACAATAAATTAATTCAAATTTTTTACATAACGTTTAATTGCTAGGGACATTCATTTTTTTCCCTTCAGTTGGTAAAAGTTTGAAATTCATAACAATTTCCAGATGTGCCACACCTGAAGAAAAATATGCCGCGCTTACAAACATTTATGGAACCGTAGGTGTAGGTCAAGCCATAATTTTCTGTCATACTCGAAAAACAGCGGCGTGGTTGTCAGAAAAAATGACCCAAGATGGACATGCCGTGGCAGTTTTAACTGGCGATTTAACTGTAGAGCAAAGAATAAATGTCTTGGACAGGTAAAAAAAAAAAGATTATTATTATTATTATACATCCATTTTTTTTTCTAGATTCAGGCAAGGCAGTGAAAAAGTTCTGATCACTACAAACGTGTTATCGCGGGGCATAGACGTAGAACAGGTTACCATCGTCGTCAACTTTGATTTACCAGTCGATTTAAATCATCAAGCTGATTGTGAAACTTACCTTCATCGAATCGGGCGCACCGGAAGGTTTGGCAAGAAAGGCGTTGCTATCAATCTAATCGATTCTGATCAAGCAATGAAAGTATGCAAAGATATTGAGGAACATTTTGGAAAGAAAATCAGCTACTTAAATGCGGAAGACTGTGACGAAATCGAGAAAATCGGGGCTTAGATGATTCCGAAAACTCCTTTCTATTTATTTATCTTTTAAAGAAATGCTTTTGTTTTATTATCATCAGAAAAAGTTTTGTATTAGCATTAATCGACTTTGTTTTATTTATGCACTTTTGCAAAAATTGGTGTATCACATTGATTTAGTTTTCGACTTGAAACTAATTCCGTCAATTTTTATAATTTCCGTGAATATGTTACGCTAATCATCGGTAGGTTTAATTAAGGAGCATCTTGGTTTTTTTGCAATGTTGAATATCGTTGCTAAGAACACTCGCCCATTGGAAGACATCGACCAGAACTTCCCACAGAATATAAACTGAACAGAACAGGTTCGTTTGTGTTCGCTGTTGTTCAACGTGGTATCTGCCTCTACTCAACAGATGGCGCTCCTAGCACGTCTTGGAGGGATATCACGTGTTTACGTTTTAAGGGGTTGTGGAACTGGTGTTTAACTCCCACTTATCACACCGCGAATTCAGTCTTGCACCATTTAAAATGCTATAAAAGTGGTGTAAAACTTGGAAGATCGGTAAGTCATTAAAGTGTTATACAGGTTGTCCAGAAAAATAGAGGTAAAGATATTTTATAAACCAGATTCTGTTACATTTGGCAAAGTTAGTAATAATTGATTAGAATTATTAAGTCCAGTGAAGTATACTACAACAAATGTTGAAAATGTCCGCCATCAATTTCTGTACACCTTTTTGCTTCACGTATTATTCTGGAATATTATATTATTACCATTTTTTTCAATGTAATACTGACGTGGGGTTATTGGTTGCCAGCAAATCAAATTGCAGTGCCCTCCGTGTTGGATAACTTTGCTGCTACTATTATTACGTAAAACTTAAAAGAAAACACTACTAAAACAATGCAGTATTGCGTGCTCACGCTGTCTAAAGCTTCGTTTAATAGTCTTTCACTAAGTGTAACGGCACAAGTTTCTGCGATCATGCGTCGCGTCACTACAACAGTGTGTATCTTGATAACTCCAAATTTCTCCGTTGTCTAAAATATCTCTTTTGTCGAACGCTTCCTTACCAAAACTGGGTTGCATGAGATTTGAAAGGGACAATGCACACATAACTTTCCGACCAATTATTTTATTGTATAAACTCTCATAAAAATAAATTACAACACTTAATCCAAATTAGTTCATAACAGGTTCGTGAGTGTCTTTTAGTAGAAGACCATTTGCATCTTTAAGCCTGACCCGACCGTTGGGATAAACCGTTTCGACGGTACCGTCGGGATAAAGGGTTCTCGTAGTTCCGTCGGGATATTCCCGCCTCTTAAAAAACAACAAAAGTTTAAACGTTAAAAGCAAAACACATATCACCTCATATTCACCTTATATTCGTTAGTGTGTATTTCTTTTTGTCCATTGGTCAATAAAAGTATCTGCTCTCCGGCCCTATTCTTTATAGTTTTTGACCCGTCAGGGTATCGTTCCTCCTCCGTCCCGTCTGTGTTGACCACGCGAACCGAACCGTCCGGATAAGAGATTTCTATTTTGCCATCTGCGTACCTTTTACTCTTTTGCCCGCTGCGAAAGATATGATTTCGAATTTGCTTCTTTTCATGGCAATAATTTAATAGGTCCGATTCGGACTGTAAATGAATTCAAAAATTTTAAAAAACATTTATTTGATTTTATTAGAGTGAATGAACGAAGTCATATCATACGGTGGATTAGAGCGTGTGAATTATGCAGAGAAAAACTATACGTTGATCGCAGACGGAATTCAATAAGTAAATCTCATTATACTAAGTCGCCTTAGGGTCATCTGTCAAACAGAGATTGGTGGGTTCGGTGTAACACTAACGTCATAGAGGCAGGACATCATTGGCGCATGAAGGAGTTAGGTTTGGCATTTTCGCATTTATCTGTCTTGAGGCAAGGATGTAAGAAAGGAAGCAACTTGTGCAGAAAAGAATTAACATATTTTCGGACAAACAGCACATCATTAGTATACTGGCGCACGAAGGAGTTGGGTTTGACATTTTCGAATTTATCTGTCTTGGGGCAAGGATGTTGGAAAGGAAGCAACTTGTGCAGAAAAGAATTAACATATTTTCGGACAGCCAAACAGCACTGAAGGCGCGCTCGTGTGTGTGTGTCAACACCTCAGTGCGTTTCTGAGACTGTAAGAACTGCCAAGGTAACACTGGCACTGAAGGTAAGCAGAAAGTGAAATTTCTATAGAGCAAAGACCAATGTTTTCAAGGTTGCTTAACAGTGATACAATACAATAGAAATCTCTTAGGAATGTATGACGATGTATGATGATGACGAGTGCCAACTCTGCTTGCAAGGTGATGAAACGACAGAGCACGTACCGGCAAGGATCAGGTACACAAAATTGGGGTGGGTCAAACCCTCAGACTTGACTTTAAAGAGACCTAAGTCTAATGGGAGTGAATACTAATCAAGTTTGGTAAAAAAATTGAGGTTCGAATTTTAATTAATCGTGGATCATTAGGCTGCTTTGTCGACTTTATAGTAAGGCTTAGACCTAATACTGTGAGATAGTGCATTGGCATTATACTTTTATGATATTAAGGGTATAATTAATCGCATTTTTATAATGTTTCTTTAAGTAATAGTGTAGTTTCTTTGAATGGCAAACGTGTTGGACAAACACTGGTTATTATTATGTTAGAGACCGTCAAGCCAAAACTAATAACAGATCCAACCAAACCAACTAAAACTATCTGATAAGTCCTCAAAATATTTCTGAGTTCACAGAACTGGTAAATATAGTCACATATTCATCTAAACACACACTCAGATATAGTTGGACCTATGATGAGTTACTGTACTGTTCAAAAACCGTGAATTTTATCAAGTGAAACCGCATTATATTATTACTCACTCTTTATATTCGATCATCTCGCTACCGTCGGCGTACTGGACCTGCCAGGAATCGCTTTCCGCGTAGTGATAGCGGACAGTGTTGGTCTCCACGTTGGTCTCTTTCACGTCACCGTTGAAATATTTAACGGTGATGAGGTTACCGTCCGGCGAGATCGTCTTCGTATTGCCGTTGCCGTAGTGAATCTCGATCGCGCCATTTTCAAGCCTCCGCTCCGTTTTTTCGGAACCGGAAGTGGTGGTAGTCCCGTTCAACCTCGGGCTGTCAAACTTACCAAACACGTGCTCGTATCGCTGCTCGATATCAGATTCCGTATTACCGACACCTTCGTCTTTGCTTTTACGATTTTTGGGAGGCTGTAAAGGTTCGGTTTTGAAAAGCGCAGAATTGATTATTGTGTAAAATGGGATATTTTCCCTTATTTAAGATGGTCTTTATGTTAATTCGAAAAAATATACCAATGGCTGCTATATGCCATGTTCACCAGGTACGGTTTTTTTAAAACGTATAGTTTTATATAGGGTTCCAACTTTGGAAACTTTTATAACCTTCATTTATGTGTGTCATTGCAATATTACTCTTGCGATATAACCCGAAAGTGATTTTCGAATAGTTATAGTTATATAAGTTACCAAAAGGATATTTATAAAAATTTTCATAACCGGTAAAAACTAATAATTAACTAAAAACTTTGATTTAATTGTGGCTAGATGTTGGGAAAACAGCACCGCAACGAGGTACTGTTTTGGCCTCCTAAAAGAGTTAAAAGAGGAAACAAGATTGCTTTCGAAAAATCGTCACTGGGCGGGGCAAGTTCGTAGCGCGTAGCGCGAAGCAACTTTTTATTATAAAAGGAAACAACTTCGCGGTTTTGTGTGGTAAAGGGACGCACTGTTTGTCTATCGTGCTCCTGCGGACCACTTTCGCAAAATCGATGTAATTTAATTGTGCATGCACCCTGTGTTAAGTGTCCCTCACATCTCGTCGAACTTCAAAGTTACAGCAAACATCGGTAAATATTAAAATTTGCATAAATAATAGCGTTGTCGAATGATATTTTTTCAAATATCTCGCGCCCTGTATAATTGACGAAACCTTATCGCTATTAATTTAGCCACAAAAACGGAAATTTTTAGGATATTTTAGAATTTTTGCCCATAAACAACACACCCTGTATATGATACAATCATTGTTTGAAGTAGAGGTTATAGCCCTGAGTTTTCCACGCGTCCTGGTTCAAACAATTTTTGAAAATAGTAAATGGTTTGCGAGAAAATAAGTCTTTTCTGAAACCATGCAGTGTGCCGTAATAATCAATGACGGCATGGCGTCTTGACAGCCCCCGAAATAGCGATTTTAATATGGATTTCTTCAAATATCCCGAGTAGCGTATGTGATAGACGAAAACCGCAAATACAAAAATTGTAGCTCTTGATGCGGCCTATGACACCGTTTAAACCAATTAAGCATAGTTTTTACGATATTTGATTTGGGGCTAATAATTTACTCCGTAAAAAAACAATTTTCTAGGTCATTTAGATTTTTGCATATAATTTGAAAACTCTGTATATAATCGAAAAAATGCCTGAAATAAATGTTATTGCACTGGATTTTCTGCGTCTGCCGGTTAAAGAATTTCGCCAATCGTATGAACGATTATGGAGGAAAACATATTTTTGTGGAAGCTAAAATTACCAAAAAAAAATTGAAATATATTTAAAAAATACATGTAATATTTGATTACGCCCAATTTCTACAGATTAAATGTGGCCACGGACTTTTACTCCTCTGTTAAATTTAAAGTTGATATCTGCAAATTTAGGACGGTTAACACATTCCTCAATCAGCACGGAATATCGGGAACACCCTGTACAATAGGTGAAAACCTTAAATACCATAGTTTTTGCTGCCTATGCGGGCTATATCGCAATATAAAAAGAAAGTGAGATCTGAATCATAGTCTTTCAGTTATAACCAATTTTCAATAATTTTTCATTTTTTTTGAATTTGCAGCTCACCCTGTATATTTTTAAAAAATTGTCAAGAATAAAAGTTTTTGAAAAATGGTGTTTTTTGTAGACCCTTGCACGCAAGATTTTTTATTTTTTTAGAATACTTCCTGACCCCCCGAGCGCCCCCATTTTCAATAGGTTCCGTCACGAGGCAAAGCTGCATATATGTGCCAAATATGAAGTCGAAAATCGCGAAAAAAAGATGGATACCGGCGTCGGATCAGGGCCATTTCTTATAAGTTTCTGTGCCTCGTGGAGGGTTAAAAATGAGACAAATTTCAATTTTGTAGCTCCAACGGTTCAAAAGTTATTCAGGAAAAACCAAAAGACTAGAACGGAGAACGGACAGACAAAAAAAAAAAATTTCCGACGGTGATCATTTATGTACCAATGGCGATCCTGTAAGATTTCATCGATTTTCGAAAGTAAGAAGTTGATCGGACCCAAATTCCGAACGCACCATCAGTCAGTAAGACCCGGAAACTTTACCCAGAGTTAAATAATCCATGTATCATCTAGTATCTATTTTCAACCTAGCGGGGCAGTGCTACAGTTGGGTAATTGCCCATATAATATTACCTTAATATAAATCTCGATTCTGGCCTACTGGCCACTAGTTACTAAAAGCTAATGATCGTAGTTATGAACCTCTTGATAGTTACTTCCGTCTAGTTAAGTACGTTAAGTAAGTTAAGTACGTCTAGGCGAATTAAAGTTGAGTTGTACTCTCTGTATAGCGACTCTACACCTACCATTTACCACAGTGAAATTTAGGGCAGCTGAATTTAAACCTAACCGTTCCAAAACGGTAACTACAGACGATCATATTGCTAAAGTTCATCAAATGGTGTTAAACGACCGTGGAATTAAAGTGAAAGAGATAGCAGAGGTTATGAGAATATCCGAAGAACGTGCTGTTTTCTCATGCTAGACCAAAAACGTGTTCGAATGACCGTTTCCAACGCTCTGTTGGCGATGTTTAGGTGCAATAAATCCAAGTTTTAGCGCCTATTAATTTCTCTAGATGAAACTTGGATACACCGTTATATTCCCGAATCAAAAAAACAGTCAAAAGAGTGGATTGCGAAGAGGGAACCGACCCAGAAAAAAGCAAAAATTGTTTTTTTGGCTAGAAAAGTGATGGCAACGGTTTTTTGGCATAGCCATGGAGTCATCTTAATCGATTACATTTGTAAAAAAATCTATTTAACCAAGACAACGTCTCATACCTTAGCGATGGCGAAAATCGACGAATTACTGCTTGACTATCCGAGTGACTTATTTTTGTACCCTCATCTGAAAACTACGCTCCGAGGACAAAGACTTTCGTCAAATGAGGAGGCAATCACCTTCGTGAACAATTAATTATTCTGCGGAGAAAAACGCTGAGTACTATTTTGACGGGTTATACACATGGGAACATCACTGGGAGAAGTGTATATAGTTACAAGGAGACTATGTAGGAAAATAAAAAAAATAGAAAAAATGCCTTGTATTATTGTTAGGTTAGGAAACTTTCCAAGTGACCCTCGCATTTCTGTTTTTATTTCTGGTCTATCGTCTGATGAACTTCGCACGGTCTTTAGCACACCTATTATAAATAAATATACACTTCCAAATATAATACAAATATAAATCAATAATAAATGTTGTGAATTGTAGCTATAATACGGCAAGGTTAAAAATTTTATAATAAGGTCTTTATGGATACTAAAAACCTTTTGTAAAACCTTGAAGTAATCAACACCACAGTTTTCATAAAGTAACGAAAATGTTTTGGCTGCACTTATTAGATGTGTTACAAAACTTGTACCACGAATGATTTACTTACAAAACGATAAAACCTTGAGTTTCTTATAAACCTCCTATAAATGCGTACCGCGTATCGCAAAACCCGATGGTTTTCGGGACCCATAGGTAAAAAAATCTGCCCTTAAATTTTCTCCCCAACGCTACGACCGCCCTCCGTACCTTATCACGATCGATGTCGCCTTCTTTATTCTCCTTCCCCTCTTTAAAATCGCCGCTGCCGGACTTATCGAGTTGCTTTTTCAACGCGCCCTCCGTCAGCCTGCTGAGGTTCTTATTGATCTCGTGAAGCATCTTCACTTCGGCCGGTCGCCTCGCCAGTCTCTGGTTGGCACTAGGACGACACGGCATCGAATTATCCATCCCTTACCGACCTCCACAACCCTATTACGTCGCGAATCTCACCTCAGTTTCGCGTTCTCCTTTTGCAGCTTCTCAACGGTAACCTTCAGTTCGCCGGTCTCCTTCTCCAGCTGTCTGAGCTGCGTCCTGAGCCTCGCCTGCGTCGCGCCGCTTTTCGAGTCTTTCAATTTCATCAGTTCCTTCGTGTCCGCGAGCTCCTGCTTGAGCCGGGTGATTTCCGCGCGTTCCTGCTTCGTCGGCCGGTTCTGTGCCTCTTTTACGTACCTTTAAACGGAATAACATTATCGCGATGGTTTAACAACACAGGATATTTAAGGTCACTCTGCGTTAGTTCTGATTCTGGAATTTCGTTCTGTTGAGATTTCCCACGGGGGGCGGCTATGGTGCAGTTACGTATTCTCACTACTTATTGCGATTGTTATGGATATTGCTTTCACAGATATACAATAAAAATTGGTGTCTGCATTATAAAATTTATTTGAAAAAATAATGACTGGTAAAAATGTGTCCTTATATTTGTTCTTTTTTTTAAATTAAGTCCCCATTTCTTACAGAAAGTGAACGGTATTATTGCGTTCTTGTTTCTCATATATTGATTTTAGGAATTTCATTATGTTTCCTCCTTCCTAATGGAGAAAAACTGAAGAAAAAGATGAATGTCAAACTCCAATAAACCAAGAAGATTTAGGTTTCAGTAAATGTATAGATGAAGGTGACAGGGACTCAGGCGGAAAATTTACTTGTACCAAGAGTTAGTGGTGCCCTACCCTATGAAGTCTGACGGAGCGGCTTCGAATGTCGCAAAATAGAGAAGAGGCAGTTACTTATTGAAGTCCCAGCGATTACAAAAATGTCTGGCACTCCATCGGAATGATGGTCCGATTTTTTCGAATGGTGTAGAACAATCACCCCGTCTAATAATAATAAGTTTGATAAGATAACCACCAACCAACCAAGATACAATGACAGAACTTTTGGGACAAGGGTTCAAGAATTGTCGTCTATCTAACATGGGAGCTAGCACAGTTGTCAACGACGGTTCCAGGGGCAAATAATAATGGCCGCAACCGATTTTTTAAAAAGAAATGATAAAAAAGTGAGTTTTTGTAAGCATTTAGCATAAAAGAAGTATTTATCATCAATTTAATAGTGCACTACCAGCGACGAAACCAACGAAGAGTGGCCTCCTTGATTCTGATTACATTCGTTGTTACAAGCACTCACGTTTCGAAGATCGTTTTCTCGCGCGCAAATTTTTTCCTCTCCGCTTCGAGCTCTTCTTTCAGCCGGCCCACGGCCTCCAGGTGGTTCTGGTTCGTTTTTTTGGCCTCACGTTCCAAACGCTGGTTTTTTGTCTCCAAATCGCCGGCTTTCGCTTTCAATTTCTTGTTGTCCGTCTGCAGCTGTCGAATTTCTAATCTACAAGCAACTGAAAGCTGTAAGCGGAGTCCGGAAGTGCGAGAGCTCGACGTTGCCATATCGCCTCTCGCAAACTTTTACGTCAAAATTTAGTACGCAGTGTCACGATTGGTCCACCTACAATTCCCCCAGGTGGCGCCAAAAGCAATTGCATTTCGGAAAGGGTAATAAAAACGGATATTACCAAAAAGAAAACAAGTAAATCGCCTAAGGGCAAATGCTGGAAATTATTTCTGAGGTTCTAAAATAACCATCAGATGGCGCTATTGTCATATCGAATTTGAAAACCCGTTTTCTGCAAATTAAAGCTATTTTGAGTGAGACAAATTCAAATCTTTTCAAACATTTCAAAAAGGGCTTAGTGGATTTTAATAAACTTGCAGTCCTTTGAAATGCTCTTACTAGACTATCAAACGTGCTGTGGGTGGCGATTGACAAATGGCAAAAAAAACCGGAAGAAAATTAAATGCATCTATCCATCATTTTTTCGCGATTTTCGACTGTTTTTTGGACCTTGCTATGAAACATGATAAGTATCACAAATTTGAAGCAATCGACTTCATATTTGGCACATATATGCAGCTTTGCCTCGTGACGGAACCTATTGAAAATGAAGTATTCTAAAAAAATAAAAAATATCGCGTGCAAGGGTCTACAAAAAACATCATTTTTCAAAAACTTTTATTCTTGACAATTTTTCAAAAATATACAGGGTGCGCTGCAAATTAAAAAAAAATGAAAATGGGTCCCCCTATTATTGAAGATTGGTTATAACGGAAATACTATGATTCAGATCTCACTTTGTTTTATATTGCGATATAGCGTTGCATATTGTCGTTGCATTACGACACGTTATTCGATAGTTTTGGCTGCATGGCAATTTCAATACCCTGTTTCCTGTGTGAAAGAAAACACTGAACACTTATATTATGTCACTACGAAGGCCTATCGACTTAACCAAACCAGAGGCAATGAGCTACAGGAAGGAGCCACTATCGAGAGACGAACCTGGATCACAGATAATAGATCATCTACGTCGCAGTGACGGACAGACAGATTGCTGGCTCTCATGATCTGGCATCAGGACCAACAAAGGAGGAACAGGAAGAATGCGTCTGACAAAACGCGAAACTGCCCAGCAGAATCACCAACCTGAATTGTTCACATTGACTGCACTCTTCTCTGATCGTTTCGTCCGAGGTGCAGTTGAAGCTCGTATTGACGGCAACGTCAATTCTCCTGGACGCGTCATCGCTCTGACACTCACTGTCGCACTCGGTATGGCCGGCAGTTATGGGCGACGGAGACCTACTCGACCACCTTTCGTCGTCGGAAAAACTCCTGACGCTCGTTTTAGCCGAAGACTCTACAAGATCGACGTGTTCCCTCGCGTTCGGAGAACAAAAAGAATCACCTGAATCGGAACCGGGCAACTTTTCACACCCGAGCCTTTTCAAATTGAGCAGGAAATTTTGAAGCACGTCCGTGTTTTTGGTGACTTCCCGTAGCTTTTGGTGCAACCCGAAGAAATGCGGCTCGTTCGGTTCCGTCGACGCGGTTTCTTGTTTAACGCTCCTATGGGGGGTGCTAGACAGTAAGTTTAAGATGCTCGTATTCGTCGAACTGAAGCTCGCGTGGTCCGCCCTTTTTTCTAACACCTCGAACAATCTCAGCTCCCGTTCGGATATTTCGGCGCTCTGATTGAAGCGGTGAGACGACACTTTAGATATGCGGTCCCTAAAAAGCACAACCCTTTCTTTCTCCCTCGTTAGCGTTAGCTTATAATAAAACATTAAACTGTAAAAATTACTAGCTGAGAGAAAAGCTCGATTCGATTCTCAAAAATAGAAAGTTACTGGATCAATAGTTGCTGTTAAAATACTTTTCAGTAAATACGTCTTAGAATGTCGTTGGTTCTTATAATATACGAGAAAAACATTATCTTAAGTATGTGCCATGAATCTCTTTTTGAGAACACCCACAAAACGTATATAATTAGTATGTTTTACCCATTTATGTACTGGAATACTCCTGAAAGTTCTACTTGCAATATTGTATTGAGTAAATTTTTAACTCTTTTAATATTAGGAATAAAGTGAGGAAAAAACATCCTTAGAGCCATATATGTATTATAGAGAATTATATCCTTTGGGGAATTCCTGGAATAATTTTTCAAAATCTAATCATAGGCGAAAAAAATTCTTCAGATTTTTTGTCCAATCAGATTTGACCTGCTGTTGAAGTAACAATATAAGCAAGACTCACTGAAACTAGTACTGGTATTTTTGAATATTAGTTTTCTATGATTTAAATTATTTTCCTATGTTCTTAACATAATATCAATTCTTTAACACATGTATCGAGACTACGCTCACAACCCACGTTAACTAGCTAACTAGTGGCTTCCGGTCTCCTATAAGTATTATTATATGTTCTCGGTATTTATTGTTTTTTTTGCTTAAAGTGTAAAGTCTGTTCATAGATATAAGAAAGTGACTAACTGTTTTTGTTAGGAAAAATACTAAACAATATTTATTTATTTATGTATGCATTTATGTTTAAATCTAAAATAAAATTACAAATTATTTTTATTACCTATTTAAATTACTTAAAATTATTCACATAATATATCAGTATTATATCATATATTATTTGCAATATGGATATACGATTGTTCTGCTTTTTCTATATGTTTAACAGATTTTGCCCAACTTTGTGGAGGGATGTTAAAAACTTCGGTTTCTATAAGTTTGAGGACATTGGAGTTCAATGGGATTAAATATACAGTGGTAAGGTGGAAGGAAGCCTTAAAACTATATGCCCTAGATTTTTTTGCATAATTAGTCGAATTATTATTATTGTAGGTTCAAGCTTTGTAAAACCTCAATTAATTGCTTTTTGGTATAATCTTCGTGAAAATAAATGTCGTTATTATACATGTAATTTTGGATTGTTGCCTTTGTGTCACATGAGGAAGGGGGTTTAGTCAACTGTCTACTGTGATAACTTGCATTGTCCATTACAATAACGCTATTAGGAGGAATGTTTGGAACTAGTTTGTTTTTAAACCAACTTTCAAATAAATCAACGGTGGTGTCTCCATGGTAATCTAGAGAAGAATCTTTAATATCTTTCGCAGATAGAGAGAGTCCATTTGGAATCCAACCATCTTTAGAGGCAGCATACAAAATAGGCATTCTTTTACCTCTTTTTGATGGCGCGTTTGTTTTACACTTATCAGTTGAGTCAATGCAATCTTTTTCCGGGGCATCATATGTGTCGAACCAGGTTTCATCCAAGTAAATAATTGGCCTTTGTTGTTCTCTGTAAATCCTTTTTTTTTCTAGATATTCCAGTCGCCATTTCCGAATTCTAAAAGATTCCATTCAAACTTGCCTTTTATCAATTTTTTTAAATCGAAAACCCATGTGTACACTTCCACAAAGTCGTTCTGCCACATTTAACACCTGTTTCATCTTTTCAAATTTCCTAATTAAGGTATCTAATGTAAGTACGCTTTGTTCCTCGTACATTTGGTAAATTTTTTGAGCCGTATTTTATCTTGATCACTTCCATCTACACTCGAGAAACTGTGAGCATCGCATCTTTTTTTCCTCGCTGAAATGGAATTATTCACGACTTATTCCCAAATAAACATTGTTTCTAACTTCCTTAGTCTCAATAGAATAGTGTTTTCTACATTTGGGCGGGAGCATCTCCTGAGATTCACTAGACTCGTACATATTTTGCATAATTCGCACACGATTCAACACACGCTATATTACACACGAAATAAGAATGATTACTAATAAACTTAAACTAAGTAGTATACCAAACCAAAGGATATTAAACAAAGGTAGGTATAAAATTATTTTCTATGACGGACCACAATTTTCCCTGAATTTAAATTACGAAACTTTAGGTAATAATCTTGTTGCATTATATGTTAAAGCAATTGGTCACTTTCTTATATCTATGAACAGACCATACCATACTAGTAGGTACGCAGTGGTAATTTTTCAAGTAAGTAAAGCCAATGTAAGTCCTTCTAATAATCAAATTTAAAGCTGACATAAAATCATTTTTTCAAAATTTCCATTAAATGAGATAATGAGATATGAATAAGCAAGTTAAAGTTTAATAGACAATATTTTCCAAAGAAAGAATAGCAAGAAATACATAAAATCAGTGCTTGGAGCTAATGTGTTTTAAACTTATTTTCATCATGCAAGTATCGTTCACAACTTATGTAAAAAAAACACTGTCTAGTCAAATTTTATCTGAAACCTTTTGGATTTCTTAAAACATGTAACCAAAATTGCCTTTTTTTTTCTGCCATTATGTCCTTGAGAAATTATAAATACTTTTAAGATTCACTTTGCAGTAAATAAATAATAATTTTATGGACATTGTAAAATTTGCATTATTTTTATGAAACACGAAGTTGTTGGCTACAGAACAGTTTTACATGCATACCGAAGATTTTCTTTAGAAAAGTGATAACTTTCAATTTGATTTTTTTCAAAATATCTTAAAATTTGAAGTGCATGAAAATCTCGAGTTTCTATGATCCTAATGTTGAATGTTGTGTGTTTGTTAAAAAATCTGAATAAACTTTTGCTTTGTGAAGCTTTTCAATTTTGTTACTGCATTTACTGCAAATATACCTTTATGCTTATAAGATGTGTTCAAAAAGTAAGGTGACTTTTGTAATTGGACGGGTTAAGTACATATCTTCGATATATTTTTTGTTATATCGGTAAACATGTCCCTAACTATGTTCACAGTTTCAGCCATTTTATTTTTTTTGTGAGACAGAATCCTTGACGTGTTTTGCGTGTTCGGCGATTTTCTGCTGTAAAAAAAATGGATCACAAACACTTGAAATGTTGACAAGGGTATATAGTGAATCTACTTCCAGCAAAAAAATATTTATAAGTGGTACAAGCTGTTCCAAGATGGCCGAGGAGATGCAAATCTCGCTTTGGAAGCCCCAGCACGTCAATAACTGATGTATGCGTTGAAGAAGTGAAACACATGGTGTTGAAAAATCGTTTCTGAAGTTTTAGGCACGAAACCTGTCGCAGCAAAATTTGTTCCGAAACTGCTAAATTTTGAACAAACGTAGACGGAGCATCGCTCAAGAGCAGTTAACAAAATTATTAAGTTAATTATGATTCTGATATGTTCAAAAAAGTCATAACTGGTGTCGAATTATGGTTATGACGTCGAAAGCAAAGCCCAGTCGTCCCAATGGAAGAACCCGGAATCGCCAAGACCGAAAAAAGCACATTAAGTTCTATTAATTTTTCTTTGATTATTGTGGCGTTGTACATCAAGAGATCTAACCACAAGGTCGTACGGTCAATAACGAGTATTATTACCTTGAAGTTACGCGTCGTTCGCGAGAAGCAATACGAAGAAAACGGCCGGAATTGTGGGGAAACAATTCATGGATTTTGCATCACGATAATGCACCTGCTGACTCATCGTACTCATCGTTTTTGGCCAAAAACAAAACCACAATCATGCCTTAGCCACCATATTCACCGGATAAGAGCCTCTGCGACTTTTTCCTGCTTCCAAAACTCAAAAAAACCATGAAAGGAAGGAGGTTTGAAACGATGAAGGAGTGCTTACCAGAAGTGCTTCGAGGATTGGAAAAAACGTTGGCATATCTGGGGGGTTGCTTACATTAATTTTGATGAATAAATAAATACGTTTTGATAGAACTTAAAAATCACCTTACTTTTTGAACACATCTCGTGTACTACATATACTTGAAAAATGGTTAGTAGTTGTAAATTCATGCTAAGAATGTACTACATACATTCTGCAGTAGTATATCAATAGAATATGAAGTTGGGGACTCCCAATTTCATATCAACATATATTTAGCATATTATAGAGCTGCGCAATGCAAAAAACACGCGGATTCCAAAGATATTCTTCTTCTAAGTCAGGATATTCTTGTTACATACTAAAAGCGTTAGGTTGATAGCTACCATTACTGTTAAAGCGGATTATCAAGGAGTTAGTAACCTCTTCCTGAGCTTCTGTTAAGAGCAAATATTCCCTACTAGAGCTTTGAAAAGAGAGCAAGAGGGACGTCTTACAAAACTTGAAACTCCAATGAAATTGCTGGAAGAAATGTTAATTGCGAGAAAGACTCTCTCATACACTCAGCTCACCCTGAACTCCTGTTAGATCGGGTTAAAGGGGTTATCAATGTTATCAGACAGAAACGCACTAGGTCTATTACTTACGGGATGTCATTGGATGTGGCCAAGTTGAGACTTTGCTTCGCTACCAATTGACTCAACGTATATTCGTCGACGTTTTTATCCACGGCGTCGTTGCTAATAGCGTTTAACTCAACACCCTTGATTATTTGATGCGAGTCAGTGCCCTCGGCCGGTTGATCGTCACGGTTGAACACCGTGTGCCAAGTACCTCTGGGTTTTATAAAGTCGGGAATTTCGAGGGGGGTGAAATCGATCTCGCCACGAGATGGTAAAGAAGGGCTACCAGACTTTAGATTCGGTTTGTCACGAACCTCCTCACTAAGGTCATATTGTATGCGTTTCGGGACACTTTCGGGCTTTTTCGATTTTGAGGATGTAAACTTAGATCGCACCCCATCTGCAATGGTAATAAATACGAATATAATGAGCTAAATCAGTTAAGGAGCTACAACTTCTTTACATTTAAATATAAACCCTAGGAGCTAAATTATCTAAAAGGTAGCTCATCTAACATTGTTCTTGTAAGGTTCGGTACAGCCTTGTTATAAAGCAAAAATTTATAAAACAATTTTAAACATTTTAATATCTGCTTCTTAAGCGTTTCTTCAAATTATTACACATCTTCCTTAGTGCGCCATAGAGTATAGTCTGTGGTGCACCGTTGAAGCTCACACACAGTTTTTTCTACAAAAGACTGTTATAGTATAGCTAGTCATAACATGTTATGAATTATCATCAACCTACATGATATCCTATGACTGAGAAATTCCAAAAACCGTTAGATAAAAAGTGTTGTAGTTTTCTCTCAAGAGAGGGAAACTAACAAAAAAAAAATCTTCCTATTTTTATTTTTTCTCCATTAGATATTTCCTTTAGAGTTAGTCATTTTTGTTGGAAACTGAAATGTCTCTTATCTGAATATTAACAATTAAAATTTTGACAGAAATTTCAAATATATATCTAGTGCCAAGTTTACGAAACGCCACATCAAAATTTTCTTGCCCGTTAAAATACGATCATGCAGCGCAACAAATTTTTAAAAGTGTTTGGGACAGTGAGGCGAGTGCGAAACAGCAGCACCTGGTGGCAGAATGTGGAACAAGGTCCCCCGGACCCGATTATGGGAGTGGTGGAGGCGTTTAAAAAAGACAAAAACCCGAAGAAAGTGAATCTCAGTGTCGGCGCGTACAGGACCGACGAAGGTAATGAACACAATAACAAATTGCGAGTCTATTAAAATAAAAAAAAACGCGAAATAGGTAAGCCCTACGTGCTGCCGTGCGTCCGAAAGGCCGAAGCGTTGGTTATCGACAAAAAGTTGGACAAGGAATACGCGCCGATCCAAGGTATAGCGGAGTTCAACGAGCAAAGTGCGAAGTTGGCTTTTGGATCGGAAAGCTATATAATTCAACACGGCTTCAACGCCACGGTTCAAGGACTCTCCGGCACCGGATCCCTTCGTATGGGAGCCGCGTTCTTAGCGAGCTTCTTTCCCGGTCCGAAAGTTGTATATCTGCCGAATCCGACGTGGGCCAACCATACCCCTATATTTAAACATTCAGGACTGGACCTTAAGACTTATAAATATTACGATCCGAACTCGTGTTCGCTAGATTTTTGCGGCATGATGGAAGATATAAGTAATATTCCGCAGAAATCCATCATTCTACTCCACGCCATCGCCCACAATCCCACCGGCGTGGATCCTAGTCAGGAGCAATGGATGGAGATCTCCGAAGCCATAAAGAAGAAAAATTTATTGGTGTTCTTCGATATGGCTTATCAAGGTATGAAGAACCGTTAATTATGTTCTCTATTCATGAAATTCATCGTTGATATGACCAAGCGCCAAGCTAAAGTTCTAATTTGCACATCCTGGAGTTAGCACCACTACCATAGCTACATGGGGGAATGCATTATCATACATCTTCCCTAATAAATGGGCCCAATGGTATTACCAAGTGAGTGCGAGTTCCAAACTCATGCCACCCCCTACCATAAGAGAGCAACTTCCGTAGCTGACAGCTCCGACAATGTTGCATTGAGCGTATCGCTCTCCAGGGCAGTTATATACTCATCTGGTTGCCAAACAATGCATTGCTCCATTCGCGGTTTGGGGTGCCTGGGCAAACTGAAGACTACCTTCGATAGTCTATGATTAGTAGGGAGTAGTATAGTTTTCTGCTATACTTCTGCGTATTGTCGGTTGACTAATACGGTAGACCAACCAAAAAATGCATCTATTGTCATCATGTCTCAAATTTCGTCTTCTTTGGTTTCTGGTAGTCTCACGATACCGTGTCAGTTCTCTGGATATCTCAGATGGTGTCGCATTAAACAGGAAAGTCATTTGACCTTGTGGCACGCACGCTTCGAAATATTTTTCCTTTTTTTCCTTTCAAACAATCTGGTTAAGAATCACTTTAGTTGTTATGGTTCAAACTCAACAATAGAAGTATACAACACGAACTGATAGGGATAATAAAGAATTCAACTTTTTAGCCTTCTTCGCCTATTTCACGAGAAATTGCGTCATCATTTTAATTAAATTTTCTTAAAATATGCGCTAATTTTGCTGTGCTGTGCAGAAACAAGCAAAATGAAAAATAAACGGGAAACAACATTTTTGCAATGGCTTCGATTACAAAACACTTATTTTTAAGTTAATGAACGTAATGTAATTTAGTGTATATATTATATTATTCATTCTTCTACTTTAACTACCTATCCATATTATTGAACGCTGGCGCCCTCACCTCCAAATTTATACCTCCGGCAGTTGGTATGAGTTCTCCAATTGCTTTTCCCCTAAATTTTGGTCTCCATAATTAAGCGTACTCATGTGTTTTCAAAGGTCTTTTTGACTTTATTGGTCTCAAAAATCTTAAGCAAATCTGTATACCCACATTTCGATTGCTAGTTCAGAATCAAAGCCTCTACATGTAACAGTTTTTCATATTTTATGACTGCAGCCAATATTTCAAATATCTGTATTGCATTATTTTTTCAAGTTGTTGATTTTGGATTGCTATTAATTGTTAATCTCTGGATATATTGTCACCAAAACCGAAAAAGTAAACACCAGTAAATAAAAGCTCAAATTGCCGGTAAATGCAAAGTTTGGTCACTATTAATTTGCATTGGTCAAGACAATGTTGCATGCAAATGCATTCACGATAAAGTCACTGATTGAAATTCACCAGTAATAAGAACACAACTATGCAAATGAGAATATATAACTAGGGGCGTGCTGATCAGGCTCACCGTTTCACATCGATTGCAGGTTTTGTTAGCGGAGATCTGGACGCGGACGCGGCGTCCGTCCGACTCTTCATAGACGAGTGCCACCCGATCCTTTTGGCTCAGAGCTTCGCCAAGAATATGGGTTTGTACGGGGAACGAGCCGGCGCGTTTACAGTCATCACAGATTCAAAGGAGGAAACTGCACGCGTCTTATCGCAGTTAAAAATCCTCATCCGAGCCATGTATTCGAATCCGCCAGTTCACGGTGCCCGAATCGTGGCAGAAATTTTGAAGAGCCCAGAGCTGACTTGCCAGTGGAAGGACGAGCTCAAAGGGATGGCGGATCGGATAATGGCGATGAGAAAAAAACTGAAGCAGGGTTTGGAAAAGGAAGGCTCGACGAGGAACTGGGACCACATCACGAACCAAAGGGGTATGTTTTGCTTCACGGGCCTCAAGCCCGAGCAAGTCAAGAAGCTCACCGCCGAGTTTAGTATTTACCTGACTATGAACGGGCGGATTTCGATCGCCGGTGTAGGCAGCAAAAACGTCGATTATTTAGCGCACGCCATTCACCAGGTGTCGAAATGAACACTGGAGGGGAACCACGCTAGCTCTTGGAGTCGGCCACTCGAAACATACTGTAATGTCCATCAAAATTAAAACATTTTTCTAAATGGAAGTTTTCTTTACTCTTGCATTGACCGAAACTTCTTTGGTCTTACATTTTTTGGCGCCACACAAGCCTTGACATGTTTATGCAACTCTAGTGCTGCATTATTCAGTGTGATCCAGGCGCTGCAAGACGCAACAGATAATTTTCTTCACGTGGAAAGAAGGCGTGATAGCATCAGAACTTATTCAGCGTTTGCAAGTAGCATTTGGTGCACTTTTCAAGAAGACAGGCGCTAGGAGTCAAGGCTGTTGATACCAGAACAGAAACTCAATACTGATAATGCATCAATTTCAAGTGATGTCAGCCCGTTGTGGTGATGAATTTTGGCAACGCATAATAACTATTGACTGAACGTGGATCAATTATTTTAATCCTGAGACTAACCGAAAGTAAATGCAAGAAATGAAGGCGCATATAGTTCTGTCTATTGGAAAGGTAATGCTTACTGTTTTCCGGGTTATTCGAATTTATTAAATTAAAAAAAAAATAATTTATCAAATGGACTCTGACGATTTACGATGGGAATATCTTTCACCCCCCCCCTTACACTCCGGATCTTGCACCCAGTGATTATCATTTGTTTCCATTTATCATTTGTTCGATGTAAAAGTTTAAATGACGCAAAACGTGCTATAAATAGGTAGATTCAGGAGACATGGAAAAAGTTGTTTCATTGTGATAAATATAATCAGTTGACAAAATAATCAAAAATTATAGCTAAATTCACAACATTTCAGAAATGTCCCTCATAAGAGGTGTTTTTTTTTTCGATGTATAGAACTTTAAGTTGCAATAAAACAACGATGGATTGACATGAATTTTATTTATCCGAAAGATAATCTTGTGGCATTACATTTTAAATATGGTTTCTGGCATATGACCGCCACGGCTGGCGCCGATGTAGTCCAATCTGGACGTTCAATTTTCGATGACTTTTTCCAATATTTGTGGCCGTATATCGGCAATAACACGGCGAATGTTGTCAAACGTTTGTGGCTTATCCGCATGGACCAATGACTTTACATAGCCCCACAGAAAGTAGTCTAGCGGTATTAAATCACAAGATCTTGGAGGCCAATTCACATTTCCAAAACGTGAAATTAGGCGGTCACCAAACGTGTCTTTCAATAAATCGATTGTGGCACGAGCTGTGTGACATGTTGTGCCGTATTGTTGAAACCACATCTCCTGGACATCATGGTTATTCAATTCCGGAATGAAAGAGTTAATAATCATAGCTCTATACCGATCACCATTGACTGTAACGTTCTGGCCATCATCGTTTTTGAAGAAGTACGGACCAATGATTCCACCAGCCCATAAAGCACACCAAACAGTCAGTTTTTTTGGATGTAACGGTGTTTCGACATACACTTGAGGATTAGCTTCACTCCAAATGCGGCAGTTTTGTTTGTTGACGTAGCCATTCAACCAGAAGTGCGCTTCATCGCTAAACAAAATTCGCTTATGAAAATCGGGAACAACGGCAATCTCGTTTTGGGCCCATTCGACGAATCTACGCCTTACTTGATGATCGTTTGGCTTCAATTCTTGTTGAATTTTGTAAGCACGTAAACCAAGATCCTTCCGCAAAATCTTCCATAAAGTGGATGGACACAGATCCAATTCCTGTGCTCGACAACGGATGGACTCATTCGGGTCTTCCTCAATGCTACGCTCTACAGCAGCAATAGCTTCTTCTGTACGCACCGTACAGCGTCTCTGGGGATGCGGGTTATCAATAAGAGTAAACGTGGTGCGAAAACGTTCCATGGTTAATCGAATTAACTGCTCTGATGGACAATTTTGTCGACGATAAGATGGACGTAGTGCGCGATGAGTATTCCGCATAGAAGAATTATTTTCGAAATAAAATTGCACTATTTGCAAGCGTTGTTCAGGCGTGAGTCTATTCATTATGAATTGCCAAACCAAACTTGAGAATAAATCACTTGACAGCGGTTAAATCGGTCGCCATCTTGAATGCCACCTTAAAGTTCTATACATCGAAAAAAAACACCCATTATTTAACACTAGTCAGATTAAAGTTGACGTGCACGGTATACACAAACACACAACAGATAATATTTTACTCATTTACAGGGTCAATTAAATATTAGCATGCGTGACGCATAATGTGAGATATCTACACGGAATTTAAACCACTATTTGTATAGGAGGTACCGGAACGTGACGGTGACGGTTCATTTATTTTAACCCAAAACATTCTCTTATTGAAAATTTTTAATTTTTTGCCCAAAAATGATATTTGTAAATCAATTTGCTATTAAAATGGACAAAAAATACTGGGTTTGAATTTATTTGAAGTTTTGGGCACGCGCATTCCAGAGGAAATCATGCCGCCAACTCTCTGTCATTAAAGAGCTGATAAAACAGAAAACTGTTAACTAACTAGAAAGATATTAAGCTATCCACACCAAACAATGCCTACGTCCAGAAAAAACTACGCACGGAGACATGTACTTTTACGGATCATTCCTTACTTACAAACTCCAATTCCGATTGGTTTTGAGTAGCACCCCGATGTGCAGGGTGTGGGAATAGGAAGACGAGACAGTAGAACACATTCTGTGCCTTAACCTCTCCTTTAGGCGTGAAGCCATGCTTGGCGAATCATATCCATCCAATACGGTAATAAGGGAGACGATTTTGGGAGCTGTCATCGCCGACGTTTATACACTAGGCTTAATGTAAAGTAGAGGCATGAGGAAGCACTGCTGAGGCCTAAGTGCTATAGTGTAGGCGACTTGCACTGACTTACATTGACTATAATTACAAGTGCAGACAAGCAACAAATAAACCTAACCGAGTGTCATTCTGACGGTTTTTTTTTCTTCGAAATATCATTGAAATTTTCATTGGAATTTTTACCCAGAAATGTACATAAAAAAAATTACCCAAATTTTGAGAAAATTAGAAATCATAACGTACGCGTCGGTGAGACGCACATCAGATTGGTGGCAGAACGTAAGCCTTGGCCCGCCGGACCCGATTCTAGGACTAACCGAAGCCTACAATCTAAACAAGCACCCCAAAAAAATGAACATCGGCGTGGGTGGTTACAAGGACGACGAAGGTAAAGGATAACCAATTTGGTTCGCGATTGCAAGGCGCCATCGCTTCGCCACAGGTAAGCCCTACGTGTTGCCGTGCGTCAGGGAAGCGGAAGCCATAATCGCGGGGAAAAAAATGGACAAGGATTACGCTCCGATTCAAGGTATAGCGGAGTTCAACGAGCAAAGTGCGAAATTGGCTTTCGGCGGAGAAAGTTACGTCATTCGGAACAGCTTGAACGTAACCGTTCAAGCGGTGTCCGGTACCGGAGCCCTCAGATTGGGCGGGGCGTTTTTGAAAAACTTCTTTCCCGGCTCGAAAATCATTTATCTCCCGAGCCTGACCTGGCTCAATCACGTTCCCGTTTTTAAACATTCGGGATTGGACATTAAGACCTATAAGTATTACGATCCTGAAACGCGCACCCTAGACTTTTGCGGCTTGATGGAAGACATAGGCAACATGCCGGAGAATTCGGTCATTTTATTTCACCCGATCGCTCACAATCCCACCGGCGTGGACCCAACCCGAGAGCAATGGGTGGAGATATCCCACGCGGTCAAGAGGAAACGTTTACTAGTATTTTTCGATATGGCATATCAAGGTAATACCACCAAAAATATAGTGCATTTATTGCTTTGACGTTTTAAGTATTTTACAGTGCCTTAACAGGACCATGGTAAAACCTATCTCAACAGATGTTCATCCTGCATTAACTAGGAAATTTTTATTTGAAACGTAAATGGACCGTTTCAAATTTGATTAAGCATTGATGCGGGGTATTTTCGAATAAGTAGAAGCGTTTATTTTAACATCACGTGATACGTATCGTTCTTAAGAGTTTAATCTAAATTGCAATATGTTCGTATATGTTACGGAGGTATTTGACCCTTCCAGTAAGTACGTATTTATGTACCTGATCACGAGCTTTGACCCTGTGAGGCTGTTTTCTGGATAGTTCAAAGGGTAAGTATAAAGTACCTCTACTCTATTTATCTTATAGATAAGTTTGAAAATATTCATTTTTGTCTTGGGTGCCTGTCAATTAACAACATTCTTCTTCTTGTATTTTTGTGTCTTCTACATAGTTCTTCGATTCTTTTTTAAGACTACAGATTATATTCGCAGTAGATAAAGGTACATCATAAGAATACAGACAAATATTCATTAGAATCTTATGATTAAACATTTTTTGAAGGTTCCTGTATCTTAACACTTTAAAATATGGAGACCTGTTAGAAGAAGACACGGAAAACAATGCAGAATTTGAAGACGAAGTGGAGTCGAACCTAATGACAATTTAGAAGACGAACTACCTCAGCAAATAAAAAACTCACCCCTTTCTCTTCAGATGGCAAACAAATTGTTTTGAATGTTTACAATTTTATGAGAAATTCAGAAGGGGAAGTAGGAGCTGCAATACAAACAAGTGACGTGACCAAAGTTCCGAAGTCAACTATAAGAAAAATTGTTGCAAATGGGATAGTCAAGAGGGAAGTGCGAGAAGATGCTGGTACATCGCGAGTTTTTAAAGAGCAACTACGACGTTTATAAAGTTAACATTGTTTCAACCCTAGAAGAACTGCATAAAAAAGTACTGACAGACTTAAACATTAGTTGTGCCAAAAAGTCGTTGCGTAGTTTTTTGAAGAAAATGGATTTTCAGTTCCAAAAAATTAATAAACGTCAAGTCAAGCTAATGGAATCTCAAAGAATTTCGCAATGAAGGCCAATAGTGTATTTAGACGACACGTGGTTCAATACTCACGATACAGTAAAACAAGGATGGTGTGATAACAGTAACAAGTACGAGGTTAGCACCAAAATTTCCCGGCCTGACATAGATGCAGCTCCAGTATCACGACAAAACTTTGTCTTCTTTTAAATATATACCTTAGTAGGCGTAACAGCATTTTAAACAAGACGCGTCCGAAAAAATGTTGCAAATAACGCAAATTGAGTATAGAGCAATCATAAACTTTTTGACAAAAGAAGGGTTAACACCTAAAATTATTAAAGACAGGCTAGATGGTGTGTACGGCCAAAGTTCTCCTTCGGATTCTGTAGTAAAAGAATGGGCAAAACGTTTTCGAATGGGGCAGGAGTCCCTGGAATATGATTCAAGAACTAGTCGAGCAGTGGTGGTCATAACGGAAAATATTGTTGCGATTGTGGTATTGAATGATCGACGTTGAAAGGTCATGGAAATCTCAGAAATTACTAAGCCTTTTGATACAAGTGTTCGTCGAATCCTGCATGATCATTTAGGTATGCATAAGGTTAGCGCAAGATGGGTTCCTAAAAACCTATTCAAAAACAACGCCGGGTCGAGTGTGCGCGGTCTTTTTTGGAACTCTGTGGGTCGGAACCGAAGCCTGTGATAGAAACCATTGTGACGGGAGATAAAACTGTGGTTCTCTATTATGACCCTCTATCGAAAAATCAATGGAGTGGCGTCGTAAGGGTGAAGCACCTCCAAGAAAATTCAGAGTCTGTCAGTCAACAAAAAAGGTGATGGCCACGATCTTTTGGGATTGTGAAAGAATTCTTTTGATAGATTCTAAAGGAACTAATACCACTGTCAATGGTAAGTATTACGCAACATTATTACATAAATTGCGAGACTGCATACGTGTAAAACGTCGAGGAAAACTGAGCAGAGGCGTGCGTCTTTTGAGTTAAAAGAGGCTGTTTTAGCTCATTTTGCAGACAAACCAAAAGGATATTTTTTAAAGGGATTGAGTTGTTAATAAGTAATAAGTGTATTGAAGTTAAGGGGGATTATTTAGAAAAATAATAAAAAATTGTTACTCTACTTTGTTTCTTTCATATTCAGGCCGCGAAATTTTGGCGCTGCCCTCGTATGTATTAGACACATAGAAAATGCGTAACAATTCTTCATGCTTCAAATGGTTGAGTGAAAGATGCCTTATTTTTGTCTGCCAAAAACGTCAAAGATTCAAGTGTGTGGATTACCATGAAAACATTTGAGGACTGGTTTGAAAATAAACTGTTGCCAAAACTATCGCCAAATACTAATGTGTTGGATATGATATCATATGATCGTCATTCAGCCCAAATATGCTTCTTCAAATAAAGAAGAAACTAAAGAATTTCTTTACGATAATGATTTATATTTTGAGGAGAGCTACATGAAAAAAGAACTTCTGGAATTATTAAAAACATTTTAATAAAGACTACAAAATCGATTGAAGTGACTGATACTTCATTATTATTATATTTAATATTTAATAAAATATAACGTAATAAATTATTACTTTGGACTATTTTTTTTCATATACCTGTTTCAAGAATTGCTCGGCGACAAAGATTGAAAACATACTTATATCCCGCTTGTTAGGGTAGATAGATAAATTCCTAGGACGGTCCTGGAATGGTTACGGGTAAGCGTCTGCTCGGGACGGCTGAGGCTGCGGTTTTGGAGTAACAAACAGTAGGATCGGTGGTAAAAGCACTATATTTCTGGTCCAAGTATAAATCTCGACTGTTTGTTTTTTCCAAAATTCCAAAATTTTGTTCCGCTCAGTCCAATTTCGTTTCAAACTTATGACATTATCGTTTATGTGCTGGTATATATAAAACATTAATAGACGTGAGGCACGAATTCATCTAGGTGTACTTTTAACTTTTAAACCATTTTAATTAAAAATTGGTATTTTGTATTTGTATTAGTAGAACCACCAACGTGAGTAGGTATGGAGAGTGACAGTTTAAGTTCTGACAGATGGGAAGATATATTAGAGGAATATTGTCTTGGAGTCATGTTGACAACGAAGCCCAAAAGACGATACTGGGTGCATAAAAATAAATAAAAACCGTTTTAAATACGTGCCTTTTATACCTTAGAGAAAGAACTTGAAACTGAAAAAAAATTGCGAATAAACGTTAGAACCCCTTGTGATGCCAAAACACACAGATCAATTGTGGAAAGATGTTTCTACAGGATTGAGAAACTTATGGAATTTCCCTAACTGCATTGGGGCAGCTTATTACAAATATAAAGGAACTCAATCTGTTGTTTTAGCACTTGCAAATGCCAATTACGAATTTATTTCTGTTAATGTGGGCTCATACGGCAAAAACAGTGACGGAAATATTTTTACCAAATCTAAACTCACTCGTTGACTGGGACAGAGAAGATCGAACATACCTATGAGAGTCTATTCCATATGTTACAGTTGGAGATGAAGTATTTCCTCTAAAACCTGTGGCCGCAACAAAATCCAGCCATTTTCTATTAAAAAAATATATTTTTAATAATGTTTTTTCTTATTACTTCGTTTTGTATCGGTTGCACCATCTAGGGGGATTTCAATGGTTGTATAGCCGATAAAGAAGTTCAACACCAATAAGCATTTTCGATGCCAGACCTATGAAGTAGAGAATTTTTTCAAAAATATATTTTATTAGCGTGCATCTTCTGAAGTAGAATTAGATGCGAAATATAGCAAATTAATGAATCATGTGTGAAACTTGTGACAGAATTCAAAAATGAATTAAAAGTTAAATGCGCAAGAAAAAATTATTATGAACGTGTGCGCATTTTGCTTGAAATCCAATACCTGATTTTTAAAAGAATTTGTTCCATATTTTCAAAGTCAAAATCAAATAATTTTTTAACCAAAAAATTGCAAACAAACAAAGCATTGTCACAATTGACTAAACTAAGATTCACAAAAAAAAAGCAATTTTAGTATTTTATATTTTAGTATTAGAACTACATATTTTATTATCAACAGAATATAAAGAAAACTATCACCTACATACTTGTTTTAGTTATTATTAGTTACCTATTTAAAGAAGAAGGTGCCCAGTCAAAGGATAATTGTTAAAAATCAGAAAAAACAAAAAATGACATAAAATAACAAAGATAAGAACGAAAAAGTGAACTACAAACACCATATTAATTTAAAATCTGCAAATTTAGGAACTCTACAACTGAATAAGATCCTAGAACTGTTAAAATTGATTTTATTTTGTTTTTTTAAGCATTAAAGCTTTTTTTCTATCTTTATTTCAACTGGTAACTAAGAACAAATTTTATGCACGACTAAGTGGGGCCTCAGTCCAATGGCGAAGCGGAAGCTTCTGTTAAGGTAGCCAAAATTAAGAAAATATATTTAGTTTTGAATATGCAACATTCTGTTGAGGCCAAAGAAAATTAAAACTAAAAGGAAAAGTTAAATTGCCACAAAAGGCACAATGGTACAGATTTCTGAGTGGGAGATGGGGTTTGAGTGACAGATTTACCTTGCTAGTTGTCGTTTTGCATTCCTGCACCATATATGCAAGTCAATATATATACTGAAACTCGCATTGTCCTTAAATAGTGAAACTATTCGACTATTCACCTAAAAACTGTGTATATATTGATTGCAGGTTTTGTCACTGGAGATTTGGACGCCGACGCCGCGTCAGTACGATTGTTCATCGATGAATGCCATCATATTCTTCTAGCTCAGACTTACTCAAAGGTCATGGGTTTGTACGGCGAACGAATCGGCGCGTTTACGGTCATCACAGGTTCAGAAGAAGAAGCCGGTCGGGTTTTGTCACAATTAAAAATCCTTATTCGAGCGATGTACGCGAATCCCCCACTCCACGGCGCGAGAATCGCCACCGAAATCTTAAAGAGTGAAAAATTGACTAAGCAATGGACGGACGAGTTGAAAGGCATGGCACAAAGAATAATCTCGATACGTCAAAAACTGAAACAGGGCCTGGAAAGGGAAGGGTCGACTAGAAATTGGGACCATGTAATAAGCCAAAGGGGTATGTTTTGTTTCACAGGCCTTAACCCTGAACAAGTGAAGAAGCTAACCGAAGACTTTCACATTTACTTGAACACGAACGGAAGAATTTCAATTGCGGCCGTGGGAAGTAACAATGTCGATTATTTGGCCCATGCCATACACCAGGTTACAAAATAAACTTTTAAAACTCACTCGTTGCGTACTGTTTGCTTGAAAATGACCTTCTCGACGCGGAGGACATCCTAAATCTGGCGAGACCGTCGCCCTTTCTCAGGAACGGTCGTTTGGGCTTGTTGACAATTTGAACAGGCGTTTCTTCGGCCAGTCGTTCTTCCAAAAGTTGATTAAATGGTTTGCTTGGGGAAATCGCTTTCTGATCCCAATTGTCTGGTACATTTTGTAGTTCATTGGGCGAAAACGCTTTGGGAATCGTAGGTTCACGAGAGGATCGCTCTTTCGTTGCGTCCGAATATTTTTTGAATAAATTGTCGTAATCATCTTGCCAGACTTTAAGATCTTGTAAAAGTATTGGGGACGGTGACGAGTCTAAAGGCATTTTACGCCGGTTACTTTTATTGTGACATTATTATTGACTGGTAATTTAAAAAAAATTTTTGGTTATGTAAACAGATCAAACAATGAAAACTCTACCGAATACAAAATAAAAGGAGTATAGCGCTCAGATAGGCAAAAATACCAAGATCATTCTCCCAAATCCACAGAATTTTTTCGAAACTCACTAAACAAATAAATACCAATTGTTTTTCTGTAAGTAGATAAACTAGTGTTGTGTAATCGTTCATTTTACGAGCACCGAATCAATCAGTGACCGATTTCAAAAAGGACCGAATCATTGCAATCAATCTTTCATTTGAATACTATTTGATGCCAACATAAGCGGCAATAGTCACTGAATCCGAACAGTCCGAACGACCGATTCAGATTCATTTGAATTATTGTTGTGTCTATATGTTATGTTTTCTGTTCTAGTGCTAGTGCTAGGTGCTACGTATTGGGTTGTATCAGTAATACATTAATTTGTTTACATTAAATACCTGTGTGGAAATAGATATTTCATTCAATATTCAGTTCAACGCATCAGCAAATCTACAGATCGATGTGGCAACTCAATACTATAGAATAATTATAACAATACTCCCATTCCTTTTCCGTGACCTGTCTCAGTCATGCATTTAAATGTTAAACCATTCAAATTTCAAATGAATTAAGGCGAATTCGGTCGGTCGATCGGTAGTCCTGTATTCGGTCACTTCAGACCGGTCAGAGCAGCAGCGGTGATCAAATCGTTAGGAGCAAGAGGGATTCGGTCGTTCGATCCTATGAAGTGATTGAATCAAAGAATCATTCGCGATTGACACAACTCTAAATAAACTACTATGTAAGTAACAAAAATAGGTTTGGAAATTAACAACAATTGTTTAAATACCCATATATTTAGGATCAGGTTCGTTTCTACAGATTATACTAATGCGTCTATTTTTAACGATCGTCTCCCCTTTAAATATACTTTTTTCGTTGGCTAAAATTTCGTGAGTGTAATCAAACCTTGCCGTACCTTTCATCACGTAGAGAGATCTTCGTTTTAAAAGAATGTCGCCGTAAAGCGACTTATTTTGTTCATTTACCAGTCTCATAATACTGTCGGAGAGTAGGCTCAAACCTGCTATTGTGTCACCGCAAAACTGAAAACGAAATCACTATTACACTTTTGGGCAAACGGCCCGATGAAAGAAATTTCTTTTTTATCTACTTTGAGTTGTACAGTAGGGTTATGTTTTGGTAGATATCGTGTGGCATGTTCGCTTTATTAAAATATGATTAAAATGACAGCAATCAATTTAAAAAAGCGACGCGTGTCGAAAAAATCCAAACTCTCCTGGCGTAAGCACGCCAAAGTTCAAGATGTTGAAGAATTCCTCGAACAGAGGGTCGAAGAAGACGTGGGCCCAAATTTATCAACAGTTTTAAATAACCAATATTTTGTGGTAGACACAGGGGGGGATATTTCCAGCAAAGAGCGGCGCAAGCAAAGGGCTGCGAGACCGTTAAGATGTTTTTCCGCTTTAGTGCCACACACCAGTGTGCCAGATCCAATAGTAAAAAGAAACAGAGTCAAAACTCCTGAAGAACGTAAAAGTATATTCGTAAAGCAAAAAGAGGAGAGAAGACGAAAATATGGCGTTCTCACGTCCAAGGAAATGACTTCGATTGCCGAACGAAGATTGTATGAAATAAAGAAAGAAAAAAAGGAAAAGCGGGGAGAATTCACTAAGGATATCTGGTCAGTTGAGCAAATATCTCCATTTGTGAATGATGAGTGGGCCGATACAATTACAAAAAAACACAATCTGAGAGGTACTGGGGTTCCAGTTAAAACCACTGCAAAGAGTGTCTTAAGCAAGAGCAGTATTTTACCACCAATTGAACCCCCACATCCAGGAATGTCATATAACCCTTCTTATAAGGACCACCAGGACTTGTTGAAACAAATAGCACAAAAGGAATTGAGTTTAATTAAAGAAGAGGAACATTTAAACAGAGTTACAAAGGACATGTTCAAAAAAGTTACTGAAGAAAAGAGAGACACCAGTTGGATTGTAGAAATGTCTGAGGGATTGCCAAGTGCGGAAGGCACCAATATTGAGGAAAATTTGGACAATGATGACAACAAATTCAACATAAATCCACCAGTAAAGAACAAAAAAAAGACACTAAAACAGAGGCGTAAACAAAAGGAACAATTCATGTTGGAGAAAGCCAAAAGAGCTCTCAAATTGGAAAAGCGAAAGGCTGGGGATGTTAATAGGATCAGAGTGTTTCAAAAGCAAATTGAAACACTTGAGAAGAAACACGTGCTGGCTCAAAAAAAACGTAAGCTGAAAGCTGAAAAGAAAAAACTTGAGCCAAAAGTATTGAGTTCGACAAAATATGAAAGCCCAGATTTGGAATTTAATATGGGGGAAGATATTTCAGGGACTCTGAGGAATTTAAAAAGAGAGGGTAATTTATTAACTGACAGATTCAAGAATATGCAAAAACGTAACATTCTTGAACCTTCTAAAAGACAACATCACAAGAAGGCTAAAATTAAGACATATGTGAAACCGGGGCATAGGGAAGATTGGAAAGAAACTGTTGCTAGAACTTTTCAGCAATAAATATTTAAATAAGTTGACATATTCCAATTGTTTCATTCCACTTACCCTTACAGCATCAATGTGAGGTTTAATATAACCATCCTTATCTAAATCTAAAATATGTACATATTTTATCTGCCCTACGTGGCGTGGGAATGCCAGTTCCCTGACTTTGTTTATAATTTTTGTGTTTTCTGGATTCCATTTTAACTTCTCAGTTTCCCGATATTGATGAATAGCCTACAACTTTAGAAATAGAACTCCCTAGATTGTTGTAATACCGACAAATGTCTACATCATCCCAATGATCAACTTGGTAACGTAGTCTCTTTATAAATGGATCTGCTTCATCAAATAAACTCTTTTCCTGATCTTCATCTATAAAATCATATTGGATGTGCATACAGTCAATTAAATGTTTTGCTTCATTGGGGAAATCTATGAAACTGTTGCTTAAATGAAAATACGAGGGACATTCAACTACATCTAAAATTTACCAGACCGAATATTAACGTAATCAAATAATATTCTATCTCACTGTTGAATTCAGCTTTAGAGGACAGACGTCTTGGCTTTATTATATTAAAAGTTGGAAGTAATCTTTTGGTTATAAGAATACAAATCATATTGCAGCTTGCAGACGGTCGTAATAATTATTGTCATAACCATAGACAAAATATAGTCTTAACAAATTTGAGAGTAATATATCTACAATATATATACAAAAACCAAAACTTTGGTTATCCACCAACTTTGAAAGCGGTCTCCATCTATGGTCTACACAGAATACTAAGGTTGGCAATTTTTGTTCTGAGTGGGTGATAAAAAAGATTACTGTGGAGGTTGCGCTGGCATCTCTTGAGCAATGACTAAAAAAAAATAGATTTGGGGTTATATCACTCAATAAAAGTTTGAAATTGAAAATTGTTTTTTAACGTTGAACCAAAAGTTACTATGGCGGCTTTAGATACGTTATTGTCGGAAACTACAAGCGCAAAGCCTGTGAAGATATCACCTGCGGGAAAAATTTTAGTTGGAATTACAGGTAGGGTGTTTTACTCCATTAAGTAAAATGTAAAACATATATTGAAGGTGGTCTAGCAGTCGGCCTTACGGTTATATGTGCCCCTTTTATCAGTCCAGCATTCAGAAAAATATGTTTGCCTTACATACCAGCTACCAGCGAACAGCTCAAAAACATTGTGGTAGCTTTGCGAGGCAAAAAAGGCACTTTGTTGGACTTGGGATCAGGTGATGGAAGGATTGTCTTGGGTATGCCTCCATAGTCATGTTGACCAGGCGTGCGTTATACCTATTTTGGATTTTAGAGGCGGCAAAACATAATTTTGTTTCCCACGGGATTGAATTGAACCCATGGCTAGTCCTTTATTCCAAATTCAGCGCATTCAAAACTGGTCATCACCAAGCAAAGTTTTACCGAAACGATTTGTGGAAATTTGATTTATCAAATTATGATAATATAGTTGTATTTGGAGTGGAACAAATGGTTGGTTTCTATATTAAATAAAATGGCGGTGGTGGTCTCATATATAATTTCAGATGCATAAACTGGAAAAGAAATTTATCAAGGAATGTAAAACCAATTGTAATGTACTAGCATGCCGTTTCCCGTTACCGAATTTGGTCCCCATCGAGACTATTGGTCACGGTATTGATAGGGTTTGGGTTTACAATATAAAACCATCTTGACAGTTAACGATGGTGTCTCCGATGAAGTGGTTCACTTTTTACAGCCCTGTACTATACTGTTTGATGTTGATATCTATGCTACAGTAAATAAAGGTAGACAGCAATAGAAGTATGGACTTTTTTCACTATTCTTTTGTTTGATATCAATCCTAATAAGATATACACCGTTTTTAATTAAATTAAATTAAATTATTCTCTAAACTTAATTATTATATGTATCTTGTAGTACATAGAATTTAAAGCAGGTAAACTGTTACGTTGAGAACTTTGACCTCAAAATTGTACTCAAAGAAGAAGCATAACCTCTAAATCGTCTTCTGCTGTGACTTCTTCCAATGGTTTTTGCTCTTGACGTGCTGCAAAAATTGCGCTTCTGAGTTGGTGGTATTATTGCAGGTGGGGCAATAGTAGTCGCCAGAAGGCAGGCGATATATGGCAAGATCAATTTGCCCTACAGCTTCGGGACAGACCACTTGTTCCGGCGCCACTAGCGGTAATACTGGCGGCGAACCTAAACATTCGCACTTTAAATAGACAAACAAGGGTTTTTAACTTGCAAAATGTTTAACTTGGCGGCACCAAATTACCAAGAAATTTTTAATGGTCGCCAACATTACAAAAATAACACTCAAGCTAACTCGATATTATGTCTACATGTTATGTTGTTGATCAGAATGCTTTTGGCTCCAAATTCCTAAGAAGGAAATCATATTCCTCCCAAAAGTACACACACATTTTCTAGATTATGAATCTTTCACACTTACCAATACGTTCAGCACTCTCTTTCTGAGCAGGGTGACTCAAACACATCTGCTTGAGTTTTTTCTGGTGTTTTTGGCCGCGGTAGTGATTTTCCAATTGTTCGGCACAAGTAGTGTTGATGTCACACACTTCACAGTGAAATTTTACCAACGGCGCTGCCGGTTTTTTCTGCTCCTGTTCCTTTTTAAAGGAAATGCCAAAGTTGTCTTCGCCATTTGCAAAATTGTATGGCTTTGATTTTACTGTTCTGAATGCAAAAAAATGTTTATTATTTTGTAATTTTTTTCTAAGCCCCTTTGACATACTTTAACCTTATCCACTTTCCCTCCTCATCGTAATACCCCTGCCCGGCAGGTTTTTTGTGTCCCATTAGTACACTGAAGAACAAAAATGAATTAGAATCTGTCAGATGACTAATCACTCATTCATTATTCACCTTTGATGGGGTTTACCCATGTAATGGGACTCTGCATGCAACCGACCAGTCAAAGGTAAATCACACACATCGCAATGAAACCAAGAAGGATTTTTCTGAGCTTCCTGCAAAGCCAGCCCCTTTAAAGAAGATCATAGCCCTTAAAAAGAGTTACCTCTTCATTTTTGTCACTAGTTCTAGCCCTTTTATGTAATGGTTCCCCACTTTTCTCTGAATAGTCAATCAGCCACTTTTTAATTTTTTTCTCGTGATTTTTCGACTGGTAATGCATCTTTGCATTGTTATTGCTACTGAATTGAGTTGAACAAAGTTTACAGAAGAGTGGTTGAAAGAGAAGCTTCAAATCTTTGGGCAACGTGTTGTCAACTAAATCTGGCACTGTTGATTGAACTAAGGATAAGCAAAGCAAAATTTTTTTTCTTAAAGTTATCTATCAGTGTTTTATACTCACAGATATTCTTAGTGTTTTGATTTTTGGGTTTTTCCTTTAAATCGTCCAGAGCTTTATAAATATTGTGCTTGATTGGATCGGGGTTGCTTTGATTTCCGCTCGAATTATTATACTGGGAGTAATACTGCGCATAGTTTCCATAATAGGCAGACGCAGCTTTTGGGTCGTACGGGTAATTGTAGTAGGAATTGGCAAGCGGGGTATTTTGCTGATTATATCGCGCATTAAGTTGATACGAGGTATGACGCGGTTCAATTTCATCAGTTTTTCGTTTAGGTATTCGAAAATTCAATTTATCTAAAACAGAAGCCTCTATGCCAGTTATTCACATAAATGGATTAAAAACAGCGCGACATCGGATTGATGCTCACCCGAGAAATATTCGCCGTCCTCATTAAGCTGCATTGCTGTTTGAATACTTTAAATCCCGATAACCAATATTTGTATTAGAATTCTCAATATACAAATGCAAAAGCCAACACAACCTCCAAATATCAATAACAAAAACTGTCAGTGTCAAATAAATAAACCCATTACCAAAAAGGATAGTTCCATCGGCCATACCTGACGTCATTTATCCCAAGCAAAACAATTTTTTGGATTTGTCTTGGGTCAGAAACTGGAAAATCGTTGCATTAGTGAGAAATAACTCTCCTGTATAACAATGTTTTGTTATTAGTTACATCTTTAATACTAATAAAAATAACTGGTTAGGTCCAATAAATTTATTATTATTTAATAACAATTACATCTATTAAAGCCGATATATGTTTTTTCTTTTAATTTTTAGTTTAATTTTCAAATTGGTTGATGTATTCTGAAAATAGAAAAATTACGAATGAAATAGCCAAAGAAATTTTAGCCTAAATACCTGTAATAAAAGATTCCTTCTCGGGATTTCTGGCAATCGCTTCTCTGACGGCATCTTGTAATTCTTGAGGCTTTTCCGTTAGGTGATAAATCTTCGCCAACAGAAGCCAAGATTTCAAACAATCCTCATTGGTTTTTAGGGCCCAATTGATCAAATCGTCTCTAGCCTTCTCATAGCATCCCAGTTTTATGTAGGTCAGCGCTCTATTGTTATACAGTAGGGTGCTGTCTTTAATTTTCCCGATAGCCTACGGCACAGCAAATAGAATTTGGTAAGTTTGGTGGGAAACGTTTTAGGTCGTCGTTCAAAAGGTGGCGCCACGCGGCAGAAACATCTATCTTCAAGTACAAGCTAGGATATTTTAAATGGGTTATTTATTAGCTTTGTTATTTCTCATTATGTTTCGGGCTTTTGAGATTGGCCTGTTATTTTTCGAATTTTATTCCAACCTTGGTAAAGAGTGTTAGCGCTTTTTCGTAGTTTCCTCTGCGAAACGCTAAATTTCCCTGCTTCTTAAACGTTTCCATTCTTTCGGTTCTTGTTATTCGGTCTTGATGCCTTCTATCCGCGTCCTTGGCAATTGCTTCCATGAAAGCCTCTAAAATAATAATCATTAGTGACAAGTGCACGAGGTCTAGAGTATATTTACTACCTTTAGATATTTGATTTGGGTCGGAACATTCGTCGTTTCTTTTATTAATAACAGTTTTATCGGAACGTATTTTTAACACCACATCGCGTTCATCGATGGTCTCACTGCTTTCGCCCAAAAAATTTCGTGCCTCCAAATCGCCGATCTCTTGCAGATTTTTATCGGACGACGACAACTTTGACACTATGTTCGACACATCGTTCACCCTGTGCATGAAATTGGTGAATTCTTCTTCATGCTGTCCGAGCCGTTCCATTTTGGTTTGTGACCACGACGGGCGGGGTTATTGACAAAACTGAGTTTCCACAGGAACGTCACCAACGCAACGCCTTCTTAGTAGATATCAATGATAAAATTTATTCTTAACTGAGTTGTGTATATTATTAACAATATTATTACTTGTTAGATAATAAACTGACAACTTTTTATTTGTTATGACACATCACATTGCCAATCACGGCTTACTGTTAAAAAAATATATTTTCCCAAAAATACAAATTATTTTTCGAAATATTTATGCACAACTATGTATTTTCGAGAAGCTGAAAACGAACTAAATAAGAATGAGTAAAATCATACTGGACGTCTCATTAAAAAAAAAGATATAATTTTCTGACTTGACCCCGTACGGTTATTTCGAACTGTATATTGGTTTATTAAGAATGTACGATTAGGCTTAATTCGACAAAATACGACCAGGAGTGTGACACAGTCTCGGATTTTTTATTTTTTATGTTTTCTTCTGTATTTTTTTGTTTTTTTAATACGTTCCACTATATTTTTTACTTTTTATATGTTCCTCTCTGTATTTTATATATTCATACAGGTGTCTCAGGGTGGTTTTGCGAAAACGGGTGATAGCGATTTGCTCAAAATTTGGTCAATCAATCTTTTTTGCCGACAAAACTAAATAAGACATCCTGTATATTGTTTCATTTTTTATTTAAATGTTTGTTGCTATCTTGACATTGTTATAGTGCATTCGGTGGCCAATTAAAAGGAACACTCGGCACTGTCTGTCTGTTTAGAATGGGCGCCAGGGCGAATTCTTGAAGACTAAATCCCGTTTATTTGAGAAATAATCTTATATTACAGATAACTAAAATTCACATCCTTTTAAAGCTGGGATAAATTCGATTCTTTTCGGTAGAATAATTTCTTTCTACTCCCTGCTGTAGAAGACCTAATTGTACACCGATCTAGCGTGCGGAAAGCGTCACTTTACTACGTGAGTTTCTTGTTCCACGGATCCGAGCCCCTTCAGGCATTTCCGGGATATTACCGTATGGGTTGGGAGCAATCGGATCTTTTCCAGTACTTTACCGTTTATTAAACACTCGCTCCGCGCGTGTCAAATAAACTCGTGAGTCAAATGTCGTTACCGCATTTGTTGCAAAATATACTATTACTTCACTTCTTAAGGAACAGTGGGGGATGTGAAAACATTTTGCTAAATTAAATGTCAATCACTTCAGAATGGCTGAGCGCATTTGGTCAAACTTGGAGTCGTTGAAAAAGGCTCTTCTTAGGCCACAAGGCTATCTTGATTGATTTCGATTGCTTGAATAGCCGCTAGAAGGCGGATTGCGACAACCCTAAAAATAAATTTTTCTCAAAAAAAGTTAAACGCAATGCAAGAAAAGTTAGTCAAATGAGGATAGTGAAAATGGTATTTCGATATCTTTTTTCTAATCTATATTATCGGTAAAAGAAATAAAAGCTTGAAAAAATGCCGCATTCTTGGGAATATTTTCCTAAATCCTATTTTTAGTTTTTTTAGTAAAATATATCTAAACTAACTGTTAAAATACAAAAATTATAAATGAAATTACAATAAAAATTAATATTTATTTTATTAAAAATATAACTTATAGCACTATTATTGTATCACAAGATTGGCAAATAAGGGTCCAATACGCATTCTGATATCTCTTTCCTAATCTATAACATCAGTAAAAGATGTAAAAACAAAATAAAGTAGTCATTTTTTGGAAGTATTTTCAGCATTCTTTCTTCTAGCAAAATAAATATACAGAAATTTAGTGCTAAGGCGACGGCATAATATTTAAAATGACAATAATAATTTATATCGCAATATTACAATAATCAAAAATAATTACACTAACATACAGATTCTAACCGAAAAAGTTGCGTTTTCGATGTTTTTAAAATAAATACCAAACATATACAAGCACTGGAATACGATTGACATTTAAACACCAGTTGCTATTTTGTTTGCCAAAGCACACTTATTTTTTCAAATCTGGAATTTCGCATGGACCTATGGGCAATATTCAAAACCTGGAATATATGACGTTTCTTCCCGAAAATGTTCGAACGCCCTCACTCCTGTTCCTTAAGAAAGAGAACCAAATAGTACACACATTGATGCTCGGGATGCAAATGTCATATTTTTCGGTAACATTTTGGAAATCAGGCGTGTACAACTTTTATAATCCAAGTATGGATTTGTCTTGGAACAAACAAACAAACCCGTAATAATTTATGTGTACTTACTACAAATCGTTAATAACTGGTGCGAATAAAATGGCATAAACGTGAATGTAATATGAAATGTTGTTTTTGGTTAGTAACAATCAATAATTCTAGGCGGTAGGATCACATTATCTCTGTATTCCAAAATAGTTATAAATAAAATATAGGGCAATCAATTCAAATCCACTATTTATTTATATGATAGTAATGATAATAATAAAATTCTGTTGACTGTTGACCAACAGTTGAAGAAGCAACATGATGATTGCCGAAACGTCAGCAAGTTGGATTTATAAGCAACCGACGCAAGAGAATCCAGAAGCTTGTATATTGTGTATTATTGTGAGGCAAGCAGTAGCCTGTGGAATTTTCTTTGAGAAATTGAAAAAAAAAGATGCTTCAATTAAGCTTTTGGTATGGTTTGCTTGATTATTATCATTGCAACATCCAACAGTAAATATTAAAAGGATATCCCAAAGATATCAGCTACTGGATGTCTAGAAGCTGTACAAAAATGATAGTTCATTGAACGCCCAGAGAGTTTCTTGGGTTGTATAGATAATGTATGAACAAATTTGTCATTTCCAATGGATATCGTATGTTATTTGGGTACAGCGGTGTCCAACATAACATCATTTCTCAAAAAACGGGATTTAACACTCAAGAATGCGATTACGATTCTGGAAATTTGAAAATAATGTATATAATAGGGTGTCCCCTAATTAAAAGTTCAAGGAGTTGTCTATTTTTTATAAAAATTGTGGAAGACTGAGAACTAAACTTTCAACTTTAAGGACCAGGGTCTCAGTGTCTTCATATAAGATTATTAACTTGACAGAGACGTGGTTGACGGGAGATAGCTCATAATTCTTGGAACCATGCGTCAGGCCTGGCTTTCGAATAACACTTTAACGGTTTTAAGAATGAAGGGTTACTTGGAGATTGATCTCTTCATGAAACGCTTACACAAATTTGAGCAAACACTTTGATAGGGTGGATCATGCAATGCTGCTTGGTAATCTGTGTGGGCAAAGTTTAGCAGGTAGACTTCTCTAATGGATCGAGCGGTATCTGGGTGACGCAGTCGGGTTGTTAGACTTGGAAATTACTTGTTACTTTGAGGGTGCCTCGGGGCTCTCATTTAGGGTCGCTATTTATTCTAATATTTAGTAATAACATAGCTGCCCGTATCCATAATGCTAATTATCTTCTTGTTGCTTTAGCTTTACCTTTAACAATCATATGTAAGGCATAATTTCAAACGTGAATTCTATAAAACTGTAATATTGTGCTCTGGTTCTACCTCACTTGGAGTACGCTTCAGCTTTATAGAATACTAATTATCACTCAATCAAGTAGCTCTATATAGCTTTTAAGTTGAGTGTCGCCTTCGTTAACATCGTTTATCTGGCACTTGAGAACTATTAGGTTTGAAAACGCTAATGCTGCTGTACAGACTTAATAACTCCAGTTGTTCTTGTCCCTCCATTCTGTCGCAAGATGGGTTTTTGACACTAATATGAATAACTCGTCTAAATAGCACATTTTGTACCGTACCGTAAGACCAACTACAGGGCGGACCGCCTGGTCAACGAGAACAAGCATTTCGACTTTTTCACTACCGTAGATTTAGGAATCATTTAGGTATTCACAAATTCTCGATCTTATTTGAAGACCGACAAAAATTTTCCACATAGGTATTTAAAATATGCTCCCTAATTTAATATGCAACGATCGTAGACATTTTTTCTTTAACCAGTAAGAACGGGTGTTAAATTAACTCTTTTTGACCAGTTTTTTTTTACCCAATATTGCTGTCTGTTTCTACTGTCCCACTCACACAAAAAACAAGGGTACTTCGTATGTCCTGACTACTGACGTAATCATTGTATTTGATTTTCTCAAGCAGTAGCTGAAGGTTTTCGTAGCATTCTTTCATTTGTAGAGAATGAGCAACAGGTAAAAAAGCAAAAACATCTTTAAAGCCTCTCTTGGATGAGTCAATAAAAAACCTCCAGTCCTCAGAATTGTAATGTGTACCAAGTTTCTTTATTAGATTAGGAATATAGGTGCAATAGACAAGTGAACCACTTTGTTCAAAATTTATTTTAATTTCGAAGTCTAGATGCTAAAATGGTGGTTGCTGAGAACTCCTCGATATATCACCAAGATCACTAAGGGTATCTTCATTTATTTCAGGTTCAGAAAACCTGATGATATCTTCTACTATATTAGGTGGATTCCCAGGTATTGGGACATCTGGGCCACGTAGCACTGGCCTAATTGCAAACTTGAGGTTCGGATCAACAATGTTTTTCAATTTTTTAGTATTATATCCATGAAGATTGCAAGTGCAGAAATAGCAGTCATTATGGTGATTCGCTGGGTTTCTCCATATCATAGGTTTTCCAAAATGTCGAGATCGCTTGGTTCCGTTATTCCAATGTTCCAAAAGTAGACCAGTATTTTATAATATGGCAACATCGCAAAAGCAACAACTTTACTCCAGGCACACTTTGGATAGGAAAGCAATGAGAAATGCTATTCTTGCCGTTATCGAGAATAGGATATACTCCATTCTAAAAGCTGCCAGATCCATTAACGTTCCAAAAACGATACTCATTCGTTTATCCAAAAACAGGGTTTGGTTTGAGCAGACGCGACATTAATTTAATTCCTTATCAAGTGGAACAGGAACACGAAACTCGATTGCACGATTAAAAGGTTTTAACAAGGAAAGCGTGGCGATTTTATTTAATT